TGTTCAATTAACAAAATAATATTTAGTTGAAAAGTTTATAGTTAAGTTAACAATTTTTTTCAGTGTATTCATATCGAAACTCATTTATATTCGAATAAGCGAGATATATCTTGCTTTGCGTGAGGAAGGAATCTCGCAAACTCATATAGTAAATAAAAAACGGATGTCGATAGTTATCGATAATACGTTCTACTGATTACGTATTCAGTCGAATATAAGAAAACACGTGCACCTCTCGTGAACGGTTGGATTTCCTGCAGGAGGAAAAGAATATCATGCGTACGAATATGATGATGTCAAGTCGGTGAGAAAAAAAAGAAGGAGATAATATTCGTGATAATTCAAATTACCTCGTCAGCGGTATCTTATCGCGTTCCTTGGAAAATGACATTTTCCTAAGATTGTTACTGATGACATTGACGACGTCGTCTCGTATCTTGTAAATCATAGACGTTATTATATTATTGTTATTGCATATTTATAATTGTCTCTCTTATTTGTTTCGAGAAAATAAAATGTTTCGTGCCGCCTTTTCGCGAAAGATATGTATTTTTAGATATCATTAATTTTTTTATACAGAGAAAAGAATACTTCTATTTTTTGTAATGAAAGGCTCATATTTTTAGATAGAATTAATTTTTTTACATAGAGAAAAAAGAGTATTCATTACTTTTTTTTAAATTTGTCAAATTATAAAATATGTTTCAAAATGATAAGTTGCCAGTTTTTTTATACCGTTTATAAGTTTTAAATGCGATTTATAGAAAAGATAAAATCGATTTTTTGAAGAACATTATAATTATAATTTCGAATTAATATTCCAATATACCATGTATAAATACAAAAAATTGACAGAATCAAAAAACGCTATCCAATTATGCTAATAAAGATAATTATTCATCAGAAAGTTTATGCTTTTGATTAAAAAGGTTTGATTTCTACTGCGAGATTAATTAAACATGCGATACATGAGTCGCATGAATTAATATTCATGATGATTCTTGCGTTTGAAATCAATTCAACGAATGAATAATGTAACGCGAATAATATTGTATTTTCGGTATTTTTCGATTGTTTATACAAAATGCATCGATCAATGTTTCTTTGATCCAAAGATGCGTTTACATTTGCGGTTTCACCGACCTGATATGTAACGTTCCATTACGTAATATTACCAAAGAAAACATGTTTGGAATCGATATTAGACGCTCGAGAATGACAAGATTTTCGAGGCCACGATTCGCTTGACATCAGCACAATCGATTCCTTCTTCGAACGAGATAATCAAGATATCACAGTGAATCGCGTTAGAAAAGACGTTTATATAATGCAAATAAATTGCAATATTTATTTATTCTAGCTATAATAATTTAATGTCGTATTAAGTAAATAAAATATTAAATGAGAAAGTATTCGCGCCTGATGAAAAATCTAGTTAGGAGACAAATTTTTAATCGTTAAATTGGAGCAAAATGTTACAAAATTAACACTTTTAAGCCGAATTTTTAAAAATCCTTTAAAACCCTTTGAGTTTATATATCTTTTCAAAGATATGCTAATCCACAATTCATCAGCGTACTCTCGAAAGCAATTCACCTTTATGAGATGCATCTGCGCGCTTTTGGATACATTATTTTTAGCAATTTGGCATGTTTGCAATAACGTTTTCGCATTTGAAACGTTGCCCTAACGAGAACGATCAGTAACATCTTTAAACCATTCTAATATTTTTCAAGTGTTATTTCATAGCTAATAAGTGTCAGTGTCATCGATATAAAGTCACACGCGGCTAATTACCTTTTTGTCTATTAAGCAAATTTTATCGTTGATTATGCTAAGAATTTTCTTTTCAGCAACAATTTAATTTGGAAAACAAAAAATAATTATACAGAAAATTCAGGCTGCACATCATGTCAAAAATTGAAAAAAGATTGAAGAAAAGATTTTTCAATATAAAAAATATGTACGAAGACTTGTCAAATTAATTATATCGATTATAAAGTACAGAAAAAAATTTCACGATATTAAAAGGACGATTTGGATCTGGGATTAAATCACAAAATTCGCGAATTAGAAATTTATCTTACAATTTATATTTTGTACGGAACCTATTGACGTTAATTTAAAAAAAGTATAAGAAAAACTGCTAATTTATCATTGGCAGGAAAAGTTTTGTCTTTGTTAACAAAATGTAAGATAAGTTAACAGATGGTTTTGTTATTTGTATTCTCAAATAAATTCCTAAAAAATATAATTTAAATAAATAAATTCCTAAAAAAATTAATTCAAATCAATAAATTCCTAAAAAAATTAATTTAAAAAATAAATTCCTAAAAAAATTAATTCAAATAAATAAATTCCTTTATTTGTCCTCCTTATGAAGATTGCTTCGCATACTCTGCATATATCACGAAATATTTTGCTCGTATAAAAAAAGAAAGGAAAATATATCCCTCGACATCTATCAACATTGATTCGCGCGCGTGTATATGTATATCGATAAACTCGCACATGTTCAACCCCTATAATAACGCTATTGACGAGCCTATCTCGAAGAAGGAAAGGCGACACGTCGTAGAAGTACTCCCTTCGCTGTGTCACTGTTACCATCGCTGATATACTTATTTCCGGTCCTCTCTTTCTCTCTCTTTCTCTCTCTCGTGTCAGATCGTTGCCAAAACACAAGGCTCAGGGTCGACTGTTTCTAAGCAGTCGCCAAAAAATCTACGTAAGACATATCTTCTCTCGCACACGTGCACAAGAGCCAATGTTGGGTTATCCACTTAATAATTCTTTAATTCATTATGTTAATCGAATAAAAGTCGATCATATGTAATCGATATATTGTAATATTAATAAAATTAATTATCGTCAAATTGTCTGATTAATCGTATTTACTTTTGACTGGAATGTGATAAGAATATTGATTGTGACTCTCTTTTTTTACACACTTTTTCTATCTCATATTATATATATTATATAAATAATTCAATGTATTATTTTCTCTTTGCTAACACAAGCAAACTGGAACATCTTTCAATCACTCATTCTGTGAGATCTAGTTTCTTGTGATAACGATAACGCCATGATACGATAATACGTTTACTACTTTCGATATGCTCTGGTTGCTTTTGAACATCAAGACCACTTTTCAGTCATATTACAAATTTATGTAAAAATCTATAATAAATCTTGATTAAGAAATTTAATGAATTGTAGAATCTTTTATTTGCGAATAATTTTAATATCTAAATAATTTATTAAGATTTTATACATACATATATATATTCTTAATAAATTTTTTAGATATTAAAATTATTTGCAACTAAAAGTTTCTTCAATTCATTAAATTTCTTAATAAAGATTTATTATAGATTTTCATATAAGTTGCTAATATGACTGAAAATCTTCTCTATATAAATAGTTTAAAAAACATATAAACAGTTTAAAATATTTTTTAAATATATAGAAATATGAATACTCGTGCTTTTATGTATGTGATGAATTGCTTTTAATATTTCTACAATTAAATAGATCATATTTACGTTAAAGTATTCGAGATCTAAGTATATTTTTTATCGTACTTAATGCGAAAAAACTGACTTTCGTCTCGCGGTTGACATTACTCGCGGTTTTCATGTCAAGGAAAAGAAACTCAATAACAAGAACGCGATTTACGAAATAGTTGTGCGCGTGTTTGTGCAAATGCGTGTGTATATTTAATCAATCATTCGCATCATCGTAAATGTTTTGAAAATACCAAACTTAGGAGGAAGCAAATTATTCTGCGTATGTACGTGTCTGATAGAATATAATAAAACGGAGTAATATTTTTTTCACACACACGTATATATATATATTACATACGCAGAATAATTTGCTTATATATATATATATATATATATATATATATATATATATATATGTATTAACAACCTGTATGTCGCGAGATATAAAGAAATTAATAATATTAATTATTTTATTTTCAGAATCTATCACATAAATTGTACTAAAGCAAACTTGACTTGGCATTGTGCTATAAAAGTACCGTTACATTCTAGATTGAATTACTGTACCTTCGAAGAGAGGTATATCAAATGAAATTTGTGAAATAATATTTCTCTTATAAATAATAAAGAAGCAGCAGTGCTTTTAATAATTTGATACAGGCAATTAATATATAATCATCATTTTTTTCTATTTAATTTATCTTTTTATAAAAAACTTCTTGTAAACTGGTCTCTCTTTCAAAGAAACGAGCATATATGCAATTTTTACAACTTTAGTTTAAATAATGAATGTATGTGTATTAAAGCCTTAATTATAAATTTAAATTTGGTTGCTGCTCAATAGAACTTTTTCTTGGTACTAAAATATTTTAAGTTTTAAAAATTGTCGAATTTTTGACACGAAAACGTAAACCAATAATGTTAGTTGCACATGATTGCGCAAGAAGAAAAGAAATATCACTAATAAGATCAACTCTATTCTAAAGTTTATATGAGAATAGTATTATGACATATATTTCTTTGAAGAAAACAAAATTCAATAACAATCTTAAAAAAGCAGTGAAAGACAATCGCTTTTCCCATTTTTTAAGATATAGATATAGACTATTTGTTCCTTGCATCTATTTTTAACATATCTATTTGAATAAGATTTCGTCCTGTTTATGCCATTTTTCAAGATAAAAGCTCTACGTATCAATAATAGCGATTCAAGGTTCAAAGTTCTCAAAAATTTTCCTACTTTATGCAAAAACAATTGATTCGGAGCGCAAATATTGGAAGAAACATATGTACTAGATCATCACCAAAAATACAATTCAACAGTTGAACAAGAATTTTTTCAAAAATCTCATCATAACTTCCTCGAGTCTTCCCCTACGCAATACTAATATTACTACATAGATTTAAAAAAAGAGAGAACAGCATTTCTAGCAGTTCCTTCTTCGACTGTCCACCTCGAAGTCCCCGAAAATACACAGAAAAGGGACTTACCCCATTTCTTCGGCGGGTGACCGCAGTAGGTCCCTTCCTCAGGATTGTAGATTCCGTCGCGAAAAACTTTCCAGCGCGTTCTGGTATCAGGTACTCGCATGTAATCGAACTCGTAGGTACCATTTTGCACTTGCTTGCCGCGCACACTCATCGCGGCGACGGTTGTCGGCTGCTTTGCTCTTTGGTCGACAGGTAGACAGGTTGAAGGTGCTGAAGGCAGGGTTACCAGGTCGGTCCCTCTCTCTTTCTTTCTCTCTCTCGTCAACCTTCACACGCCGGGCAACTCGTGCGGACTGATACGAGAGATGATAGCGAGGTGAAACGCAACGCGACCCCGCACCAGGCTCCGCACTTCGCCTGAACCGGCCTAAACTGGGAGAGCTCGATGTACGTAGGTAGGTATAGCTGCGAGCCGAGTAGAGGCTGCCCTCATAGAGGGGCAAGTCGATTCCGACGTTGCTCGACGATCTCTGGCCTGCTCGGTCTGTCTTCCGACAGCTTATATGCTTCTTAGTCCGGCAAAACTTGACTTTGCGAAGTCGCTGGGACGAAAGGATGTCGTCGTACCAGGAAGTTATCATTGTCTAGGGACAGAAACAGTCGTTCGTTAGGAAAACTTCTCTTCGGCTGTGTGTGACGATTTTGTCTTGATTGATTTCGAAAAATGCGAAGGGAGAAAAATATTAGCTATCCCAGCTAATATTTTTTATTATTATTTTATTAATATTTTTTATATTTATATTTATATTTTTTAGCTAACTAATATTTTTAATATTTTTATTATAATATTTATTATATAGTTTAGATGTTTAGAAGAATATCCTATATAATAAATATTATGATAAAAAATATTAAAAATATTAGTTGACTAAAAAATATTAATTGCCACATAGCTAAAATTTAGGCATAATAATTAAATTTCAGATTGTAAATATAGGGACAGTTAAAATTTAACTATTGTTGCAAATTTTTTTTTAATTAAATCAAAATAGCAAAATACACTATTGGTCCATGAGACTGATTTGTCTAAATATTTATCAATAGTGTGTATCTCGATATAATTAAATAAAAAATTCTTTGAACTTCTAATTTTACGAGCAAGAATATCCTGGAAGCTACTTGGATTTTCAGTTAGACTTATTTAATTTTGAAATTCTAATTTTTTCGATTAATTAATTTTATGAAAATATTAGTATGATTATAATATTATATTAAATCCACTTTAGTCGATCTCTATAATTCGTGACAGAGAATTTGGGACAGAATTCTATTTATAATTTTATGCGTGGCGTCTATTCTGATGCATGTACTGTATATATACTGATATAAAATATTCTATTTGTGTGTTTATGTATTCTGATTCTTCAGAAATTGTCTCACATCACATATATCCAACAATGGAATCTGCCATTGATGCGATTTTGTGATATGATTCATATGTGATACATAATACACACACACATATATATATATATATACAGAGTGTCCCTGCTATCAAATTAATTTAATGGCGCATTCTTTGATTAATCTGAAATCGATTTACAAAAATAATTATTTAATAATTTTTTAATAATTTTTAATTTAAGTAATTATCAGTTGACGAGTTTTTTTTCCTAAAGTTAATACACTTCTCTTAAATTCAAATAAATAACAGAAAATCACTCTTCAATTAATTTTTAATAGACTCTATTTTTGAACAAAATTTAATTTAATTTAAAAATATCTAATTAATATATTGAATATTGAATTTAATAATATTTAATAATATTAAATATTGAAGATAGAGATAAATCGTCAAAAATATGATGCTCTTCCACGATATTTTTTTAGAGAAAAAAATCAATTTGAAATTGATCAACAAATGCCATTTAATATACAATATATGGTAATTATGACACCCTGTATATATAACAGACATATGGTTTCTCACTTTTATCAAGAAATACACTTCTTTCATGTTGATCTTGAGTAAATAGCTAATGGTGGAGAAAATGTTAAGCTTAATTTTTACAGTCTTTTTTATGATTCGCATATATTTGTACATATATAAGTATACGTACAATAATAATGTATATGTATATATAAGTATATGTTTATTCAGCTAATCGTGTATCCTTTTTTATTAGCATTTTTTTTAAATTTTGGTGAAAGAATAAAAAGCGTCTGATTGTCTATTTTTTATAATATTAAAAATCGAATTTTCGCAATTTTCAACTCAAATAAAGACATTATTTACAGAAAAGCATACACACACATAATATCTATACTTATAGTGTTGAAAAATAGTGTCACACATACACACATATACACACTCATATATGATTGTGCTACATTTTAGCAATTTATCTTAATAATTTACAAAATAAGACAATACATATTTAATGAATTTTTCAATATATATGTTCGAATTACGAAATAAAGGCTTACAATTGTACGAAGACGAAGAGTCGCGGAACGCAACAGTATTTTTCTCGCCTCCTAGTCGATGTTCTTCAGATCGATTAAGCTGTCGACATTTTCCCGATTTACAGACATCCGGAAGAACGAAAAGAACCTTTCTTCAGGGTTGAATCACGTTTTAGAATTCATATTTTCGATACGAAAAGAGGAGAGAGACGCGAATGCGACTCTAGCGATTCCGACAACGAACGATTTGAAGTTTGCGAGTTTGAGGCCTATCGAAAAGCGGTATATCGATGTTCGAGATATATCGAAGCGTATTCAATCGCCGCGAAATTTAAACGCGTAAATCGAATCCGAAATATTTTGACGCTCGAAATTATTTTTTGACACGAAAAAGATCTACTAAAATAAAACAAATATTTAAATATTTGATACATGCAATTTTACGTAAAAATAGGATATGTATTTCGAGAAAATTGAGATGTGCGATAAATCGATTTATCGCTATTTACTAACCAAAATGGCTGTCGCGGGAAACGCGCGGGTTTTTGTTTTCATTCTCTGAGAAGATACAACATCGAGCGTGAATTAATAAAAATCGACACTGACAGGAGAAAATGCATTAAAATCATCGACAATAAAATGCAGTTCCATTCCGAGGGTGGATTCGAGCTGTTGTCGAGGTTTCGGGAGAAACGTCGCTCGGTTAACCTCGACGGGACTCTATTCCCGGGCGACATCGGCAACCAGAGCGTCGTCGAGATCGCCGGAGCCTCGTCCACGGGGAAGACCTTGCTGCTGTGTCAATTTATAGCCAAGTGCATTTTGCCAACGAGGTATAAAGGGATCAAGATCGACGGTTGCGACTCCTGCGCAATCCTGATCGACACGTTCGGTCAGGTCCAGATGAGCAAACTGGTGGAATTGATGACTGTCATGACACAAACCGCGTGTCAGATCGCTGGGACGCAGCTCCCGGTCGAGACGGTGGATCTGGTTGTGAGTAAGTCGCTGGAGAACCTGACAGTAATCAGTTGTTGCAACAACGATCAGCTGCAGCTGTCACTTCACACTCTGGAAGATGAGCTTCTCAGCAACGAGAGGATTTCTCTGCTGGCTATAGATAATATTCTGGCGTATTATTGGCAGACGAGGCGGGAGAGAGGTATATTAAGTATGGATCAGTATGTGAGGAGCTTGGTGAGACTAGTTCGAGCTAGGGTATCTAGGCTTTGCAATGTGACAGCTTACACAAGATGGGACGACTCGGTGTCTGAGGACGAAGAGTCCATAACTAAGCCAAGTAACTCCAGATGCAACAGTCTATTAGAGGGAACGGGTGTGAATTACAGGCTGAAACTTTGTAAGAGTTCTGTAAGCCGTGAGTTTATATGTCGTATACAATCTGCAGATGATGTAAAACAGATTCGTTATACAATCTCTGATTCTGGTGTAAAGTGGATTCTTTGATATATCAGAGGTGAGATAATTTTCGATCAGTAATCGATCGATGAGAGGAGAAATTTGTCCACTATATCTAATGGATTTAACAATCTTGAACCTGCTATGGTTGTTTGACAATTTGGATTGAATAATGATATAATTTCTTTAGCTTCTTTCACTTCCTCTGGTGTTACACCCCCAATAATGTAAATGATAACCCAATCATTGTCGCATGGATGGTGTTTCACTCTTCCTTTGGAAAATAAACTATAAATATATATATTTTTTTATCAAATTATTTCTCAAAATTTTTTCAGAAAAATTTAAAAAACGATTGCATGAAATATGGTATTATAATAAAATATGTATTGTGTATTTCAACTTACTTGAATCCAGCTGAAAGCAAGGATGAGGATGATCTCTGGTATAAATCAGGAATTTCATATCTGTCTGGATGAAATATGTCTGTCAATAATTGTTGCAAGATTCCAACACGTTGAACAATCTCTTGAGAACTCGATTTAGACATCAAGGAGCTGTAAAAGATATAAATTAAATACTCTTGTTATATTTTAGTAAATATGAAACATAAATATTGAAAAAAAAATTGAAGGAATCAATTATAGAAATTAAAAGCATTATATACATTTGATTTCACAAATTATTCTCTATTTAAATTTCTTAAATAAATTAAAAATACAAAAATATAAATAAAGTTTCATACGTGTAATCATGTAGAAATGCACGTTGCTGTGCTATTTCATGTAAAACATTCATGATGCGTTCCGCTACTTTTGTAGATATTTCCTTCATGGATTGATCATCAGCAGCACCTAATTTAGATTTATATCTTTATTATTATTTGTACTTTATATGTATCTTAATATAATTAGATATTACCAATTTAATTAGATGCAAGATCTATATTTTTGTATAACAAATTTAATGTAATTTAATATATTGTAGATATACAACCAGATAATAATTTAATTTAATATTTTGAGTAAATCATTATTTGTTTAATGAATTTTCTGTGAGACAATTTATTTGAATTAAATATAGTTTGTATAATTTAAACAAATTTATATAATTTGACCAAATACAATTTTTTGTATATTATATAGATTTTTGTTTTGTGTTATTGCAATGTTAAAATATTTTTCATGAATAATAGAATCCTTCAATACTCTTGACTGTTTAATTTGTTATTTCTGTATTGTATAATATTTTACGAACCAAAGAGTAATAAAGTTTGTTGATACACTGACATCTTATTATTGACTGGATTCTCGTTTAATTTTGCACTATCCTCAAATATAGCATCGGCGATGGCTTCCTTCAATTGCTGCTCTTGTTGAGGAGAGAATTGTATTTCCGTTCCAGCCAATGCATAAATATGCACCAAAAGTGCCAATATATTATCTGTATCCAGACCTCGTTTTTCGCGAGTTTGTATTATATTGCTGAACTGAAAGTATTTGAAAGGAAGGTATAGTCATAATAAAATAAGATATAATTATGCGAGAAATGTAAGAAACTAAATTCGATAATTACTTGCCCAAGCACACTCGTAGATTCACGACTTACAGCTATGTTTTGCAATACCAATTTCTCAAGACTAATCAATAGATCTAATTGGGAAGTTTTCTCCGATGTTAAGGCTTGTATAATTGCCAGCACCACCTGCAATAAAATTTGTTTATCAAACACGCAATTTTCTTAATTTTGTACATATAAATACTATATAATATATAAAAAATATATATATGTATATTTAAAAACTATATTACATATTATATATATATATATATATATATATATATATATAAATTATGCATAATGTTCTGTATACATACTTGAAGTTTTTTGCTTGATTCCGTTATAGCATCAAGATTATCTATGTCTTTGAATTTATTTACAAGTTTTTCTAAACTGTGCGCAGAAATCCTTGTTGCTAGTTTTGACTTTAGATTTTCTTTTGTCAAAAATATATCATTGAGCATTTTGTTCATAGTAATCAACACCTCTTTTTGCTTTTTTGTGATTAATATATTCATCAGGCTTTTGTCGTTGCTAGCCAAACATCCTGGTACTTCAATAAGTTCCTTGAAAGATAAAAATTAATATTATAGAAAAAAACAATTTTACAATTTTCATGTAATAATGATATTTCTATGATATTCTCCTATAATATTATTCATAGTAATCACATGAATTACATGCATTTTAATATATTAATTATTTTGTGACTTATTACCTGTGTGCCACAAAATAGAGGAGACATATTTATAGCGACATCGTTGCAGTGATAAGGTAAATGTGATAAAGTACACAGTATCCTGGCTAGCAATGATTCAGTATTATTACTAGTAGGAGTACAAAGGTCTAATGCTCTGTCGACAAAGATTAAAGATACCCCTTTTCTCTTTGCACCAGATGAATTCTAATGTACAGAATAAATTATACATTAAAGTAAAACATATACTTTCTAGCTAATATATAACTTATCTTTATCTTTTTTATTTAATCATAATTATTATAATTACACTTTTATAATAAAATACTTACATTTCTACGATTAACAGCTGCTGGTAGTACATCTAATTTTTCAGCAACATATTCACTGAATTTTCCCATCGAATAAATATCTTCCTTCAAGTTCAAGTATGTAAACAAATTATTAAATAAGCTCACAAGATGATCAACCGTGCACTCTGAATTCTTTACTGACTCACTATTTAAAGGTGATAATAGATCACCAAAAGCTGGCGTCACAAATAAACCATCATCAATTGGACTAATAAAAATTGGTCGAAATAATATTGTCACTGAACAGTCCTGTGAATCAATAATAATAAATAGTCACAATTTCAAATATAATGATAAACTGAAATTAAATTTTCTAGACGATGTTACTGTTAAATACGATACACATATGGCACAATTGTTTACTTGTGAATGCATCCAGCTTTTCACATCTCTCTTTAATTTGTTATAATCCGCTCTATCCTCTAATGGGACTGTGTCCTCGTAATTGAGTACAGTTGGATGTGCAGCAGTGACAATTGTGCAACAATCAAACGCATTCTTCTCCATTATCATCTTGACTGTACGTTGATAAAATGCTGGATTGGTGGAGGTTGAAATAATAATCGCCTTCTTGCAATTCTGTACTTTGACATACTGTAACAATAAATTAATAATTTTAAGACAGTTATTAAACAATTGTAAAACAGGTAATATTCCACTTTTACATATACATACACGAAAATTGTACATGGCCAGTTCATAAACCGACACTGCACCAGCATCCTTAAGAAAGGAGTACATCTTGCCACCAGTATACCAATGCAGACACTCCGTTGCTGCATGATCTATATAAACAGCAGACTCACGTGCAAGATTCGCGACGTCCTGCCAAGTGTCAGCAAGAAATTGCTCCAGGTTACTGGCGTTTTCCATTATTAATTATTATTATATTAGCATCACAGGAACATGAAACTTTTCGTTATTATCCTGAAACATGAGTGACGAAGAATATTATTTAAAAAAATAATAATTAAATAAAATAAAAATAAAATCATAAAATAAAATTTATTTAACTATGACATTTAGATAATCACCAATTAATATTAATTGTTAATATAACACAATATACATATATGTTACATGTTTTTTTTGTGACACACTGTAACATATTTATATTCTTGATATGTTTTCTCTCTCACTTCACCATGCTGCGCAGTGCGCAGTGGGATGGGACACTGGCGCGCGCAGCTGTTCCCCCACTTTGTGCTCGTCACGTAACACGTGACACTTGACGCGCCATATATCAGTGCCACCTGGAGCCTGGAGGTCGAAGTCGATTCAAAGTCGTACGCATCGAGATCACGGTCTTGTATACAAGACCGGCTCTTTCTGTCGCCACGATAATTGCGTATTGTACGAAAAATTTTTTAATTATATGTCCGGATAAAACAGCAGAGAGAAGATGATTGCCGCCTCAAAACTGGTAGTAAGAATTGTGATAATAAATCTATCATTATATTTAATCATATGATTGAAATAATTAAGGAGATGTTTAGTTTTTAATAATAAATACAGACAAAATAGCATCTGTTTTAAAGTAACGTCACAGCATTTCATAAAGAGACATATATATATATGATATTGCTAATATTTTTTTTATTTAAACTTTCTAATCTCTTGATTAATAAATATATTACTGGACATTCAAGTACAAGTGATTTTAGATATTATTTAAATACAAATTCAGGCAGAGGACTAATATAAGAGCCAACAAATTTATTTTTTATTTATGACCTCCACAGTAAACAAGAATAAATAAATAAACAGTATATATATGTATAACATATAGTATATTTATATATACTAACATATAGTATATATATAAGTATTATATATAATAACATATAGTATATATATAAGTATTATATATAATAACATATAGTATATTTATATTTATATATATGTATAACATATAGTATATGTAACAATAAACATGTTCATCCATTTCTTACCAAAATCTGTATTTTATATATCAGAATCTTTTGGATTTATTATGAATATTATTTATTCCGCTTGTTGTATTGTAGACAAATGTCTATATAACGTTTTTTCTATTTTCAAGCTCAAGGTCTTGAGTCTTATTAGTTTCTTTTTACATCTTTTATTGTGTTTAAACACATATTTTTTAGATTAATAATGATATCAATACAGATTAAAACATTCCTAAATTATGTGCTAATTTATATTAAAATTTCTCTTTACTTTGTCTGTATTTCCAAGAATTGTAAACAATTTATGTTAATTTTTATAAATTTGACATTACATCTAATTTAATATTATGATAATAATATTGTTTTATATAAATTTAGAAATAATAATAAGAGAAAAAGAAATTTAATTAAATTTTGATTCAAATAAAATTTAGAGTAATTAATCGATAAAATAAGAATTATATATATAACACATGTATATACTTGATATTTTATATATATTTTTAGACATATATGCCAGCTGGTCGACAGATAATCTTCAGACATCCTGGATCATTAAATAGTCAACAGTCATCTAGTAATGAAATAATTAACAAAAAAAATATTCTAAACAGATTTGATGAAGTAGTAAATATATCGGAAAAGATCCCTGTAAGATTTTAGAATGTAACAAAAAGAAATGAAATGAAAAGTGATAAGGAGATAAAAGAAATAGATTACTGAAAGATTATTGAAAAAAGAATACATCTAATAGCTAATCATTTCTCATAATTTTTTCTTTTTATTTATTTTGAAATAATAATTAAAAAAAATTTATTTGTTTAGAAAGAGACATGGTTGGTACGCAATAATGAATCTGGTGTAGAAGAAGAGTTATATTACTCTGGTAAAGTTGCTGTTTACCATAAGGGCAGTCCAAATATTCGAGTACTTAAAGCAACTTATACATTTGAAACAGATATTCAGCATGCGCTTTGGTGTACATTTCACATGAATATCCCGAATTATTTAACTAAGGATAAAAAATACGAGAATAAGGACTCCATTTGCAAATCTATAAAGTGTATCTGTGTGCTTGATTCGTATACCCTTAGTGCTTTTACAGAAAGCGGTGAAAATTATGTTTCTGCTTTACAATTTCAGGTAAAAAAACTTTCTTTTTAACAAAATGACATTGTATTTTTTGTACTCGAAAATTCTCATATATAAATATATGTATCATCTAATTTGTAATAGTATCCTAATATATAATCTGTAAAATACATATAATATATAAATATCAAAAATTTATAACTTTATAACTTTATAACTTTATAAAAAATTTATAAATTTATCAAAAGATTATAATATATATAAAGTTTGACAAATTTGATTGAAAACTTATCATTAATAAAAATTTATTACTATTTTTCAAAAATGACAGCTGTTTATCGCAAAATTATTACAATAATTAAATAAATAGAAATAGTAATTTGTCACATTATAAATATATCGATTGATAATTTAGGTGTCTGCTGTATGGCCGATGAAATATGGAATTATACTCGAGAGATGCCCAAAGTCAGTTACAGATTCAAGGTACTTATATTTTATTGACAAGTGATATAAAAAACATTCCATTTATATTGTTACATTTTTATATTTTTATTCATAATCATAATTAGAACATTAAAGTCTTAATTACACTGCATTTTTTAATTTTGTTTTTAGGCGATTATTTGAAAGCAGCAGATTACCGCAAACTCGAAACAATAATTTACCTGTAGCTTTTTCATTAAAGCATCCATTAGATGAGATATGCCCTCTTCTTATTAAACATGGTAAGTAAATTCTAAAAAATTAAATATAAAAATTAACAAATTATGCAAAATGTCAGATGTATTTATGCGATTTATATGAAAATAAATTAAAGTCAGATTAATATTTAATATATTATATATATGTATAATTGAATTAAATATTTTAGAATCTGTATCGTACATGAATGAATCAACTCAGCAAATTATATTCACTAGTTTGGAACCGTCCCTTGCAGTCATATACGATTCAAAATCCTGCTTGCATTCAGTTTACAAGATTCGCAAAGTGTTAGCTGAGGAATGTGAAACAGTTGACAGAAGTAACGATACGAGTTTATTAAATCATTCAATTAATATGTCATCCTTAAATGTCGACAACAATTTATCTATCAATAAAAGCCGCACCAAGAAGGAACTTCTAAGTTCCTTTCATGGTAAAAACATTCATATATATATAATTGTCAACATGTATATATACAAGCATGCATCTGTTTTTTGTGTATATAATATTGTTAAATATAAGATTGCATCACTATATATATATATGTATATACATACTTATATATAAAATTAAATAAGAGCGAAAATTTGTTGAAGAAAATTTTAATAAAAATGTGTGAATAATGTATGAATAAATATATTACAGACATTTCAAATTTCCATATGAGTACTTCTGACAGACCATCGACTTCTCAACAGTGGTCACAATACTCGATGGATAGGACTCCTCATCAAACACTCGCGCATGCGGCAAGTCGGTTTTCTGATGATCATCCGATTAATGATTGTTTCTATCATAACATATTATCTACAATTATTATGAAAACTACGAATCAAACGCACAATTCATTTGTTAACCGCGATATCCAATTAAAAAATACTGCGAGCAGACCTTTATATCCTGAGATTTGTTTTGAATATATATGGACAGAAAACGTCAGTGTAACAAAGTAAGTCATTTATTCACATTTAATTTAGCTTTTACTTTTGCATTATAATATACATGTACTTACGCGGAGCGATTTGAGCAAAAATTTACTAATATTAGAATAAGAAACGCGAACAATTTGAAAAATTTAGTACAAATAATATAAACTATTTAAAAATTTTATTTAAAATTAGGTTTTATTACATATTTATAAAATATTTATTTATGCATTTGCAAAGATTTGTGATTTTAGAAGTTTGAAATATTGAGAAACTCTAATTAATAGTTTGTTGAATTTTACTATTATTATGTATATTTACATATATGCAGCAGAATATTTCGATATATTTATAAATTATAAATTTAAACTTAAAAATATATAAATTTTTGTGAATTTCTTTATATAGTTACAAGCTTAGATATATTTTGCTGTATATTTATTAATTTCTTATAACTGATTTATTTTTAAAAGAAATATCAACTTTTTTACATTTGCAAACGTCAAACGACAAACACATTTATTATTTCTTTAGAGATATTGTTTATCGTCGTGCATCAAAAGTTTTCTTAACATCGGATTTTGTTGGACAAAATTATTTGGGTTATTTAATTCCAAATCGTTCGCAACTGTATTTAGTGACATTAGAAAAGACTAATGAACCAGAACAAATCATTTTCGGAACAATAACAAGAATCGCAGCTAAGGATGCTGTCAATTTATCAGTTAGTACATTTTTTAGATTCTTATTTTGTTATATCAACATAACTTGAATAATAACTTTAATAATAAATATATCTATTTAATACAATTATAAATATAATTATAAAAAATTAATTTTTTTTAAGAATTTGCACATGATAGCAATTATAGATTTGTCAAATAATATAACGTTATACACAGGAGTTATGTGTGTGGGCAAATTACATGTACCTGATGTATTATCATTGAATCTTATGAGCGGTAGTTTCTTTGTGTCAAGTAGTAATTCTAAACTTCCATCTTTACATAAAATTGAATTTGAAGAGAGTATACGTTTATTAACAAATTTCGTAGGTGATGGTTGTGCTCGTCCGCCGATACCCACAGAAAGTTCATTATTGGATACGAATTTTCTCGCATTGAAAGACGCTATTGATAATGAGATTATTGTGGAATGCGAAAAACAACAATACTTTCGTATAAGATTACCTGTATGTAACACATCTTTTTTAGGTAAGTAAATATTTTAATATATCTAATATTATATTTCAATATTTTAATATATTTTATATTAACATTTTAATATATAATAAGTTATTAATATTTTAATATAAAAGTTAATATATTTTACAAAGTTTGCACAAAATAATATTACAAATGTATCTTTTATAGTTACTAAATGCTTGCATACATTACGAAGCGTATTAGAAAAAGATTTAGCAATGCAATTATTGATTAAATGGTACGGTGCTAGAAATGCCCCTGGTCCACAAGATCTTTCACCGGAGCAAGAATGGAATCTCTTTCTCACGATTCTGTTTCCATCGTTGGGATACAATGTGGAAAAACTAAGTTTAATACAAATAAACGACGAAAAAGATCAATTTACAGAACATGTTAGCAAAAAACAAAAAAACGATAATTGCATATCTACGGATGATTGGCTGCATATATTGAAATTGGATGAACACAAAAATGCGCAAGCTTATATTACAAACGTACTGAAATGTCAAAAGGCATACAACTTTCCTTGCACAACTCCCGAAAGTAATAGTGCTACAAGATCGAGATATAGCATCGGCAAAATAAATGTAGACGCCGTTCTATATCCGCATCTTCCGCTCGTTTTATTTTCTCTTCATCTCTTATACGAGGAATTGAAATTAAACAGCCTTAGATTGGGAAGTTTGTCATTGCTCGGACAGTTATTGTATCAATTAAGCTTAGATTTGAAGTTCGAAATGTACGCTCATCATTATTTTCTCGACTCTCCGTCCTTACTTTATTCAAAAACTATAAAGAGAGAGCAGATCAGCCACTCGGATCTGCAGAAAATAACAATTCCAAATTATATGCCTCGAAAACCGCCGAACGTATTCAAAACGTTAAATAGCATCATACTAAATGAAGTAGAAATAACTGCATTTCCATATTTACGTCGCGTGAATCCAAGAACGAGAAATTTAATATATTTAATAGCACTCGAGTCGAATGAAAATCGCATTGATGTTGTAGAAGTGGAAAAGTATATCGAATTGATTATACCTGATGGAAATGGCATCAATGTTCAAGAAAGTGATGACAGGTTTGACAAAGAAATATCGATAAAATCAGAGAGGTCTACAACAGATAGAATCATATTATTGTATCACGAGATGGGTAAGATCACTTTGTTCCTTTTTTCCTCTATTTTTATAAATATAAAACAAACTTATAATTCTAGGTATGACGAAGGATGATCTCGAGATTTTGCCACCTGCGATATCCCTGATAATCAGAGATGTTATATCTAAATGTAAAGAATGTCCACCATTAAATTGGCCCATGTATGCGTACGAGTTCATAGAGCGTCAAGATTTAGTCGCATTAAATAAGCTTTTACAACCATCGTCGAAATTACAATGTAAAACGTTCATTGATAAAACAAAAGATTCTGAGAAGGTTAAACAAGGGGACGGCATGGAATTTGATTATACGGTATATATATAATATTTTTATATAATATTTTTATATGATATCTAGTTTTGATTTATAAGATATTGGTTTTTCTTTTTACACATAATGTTTCTAATATATAGGGTGTCCCATTTTAATCGTGATCACTTTCAAAATTAAAAAATTTTTGTACAACAAAAGTTGTTTGATTTGAAAGGAGATAGAAGATGGTATACTATTGATTTGTTTTAAAAGACACTTTGAAGATCATTTAAAGGTCAATTATGTTTTTTAAATGTCACCACTATATTTTTCTCATATAAATTAATTCTTTGCAATATTTATTATAAAAAAGTTTATTATAAAGGTAAGATTATCAAAAAGTGAATAGTTTATGAGATATTTATTTATATTTAAGTTTGATATAATTTTACATAAACTATGAAATATTTTATAAAACATTAATTTTTTTGACGATACTTCAATACTTTCATGCACAAAATAACGAGAAGAATTAATTGGTGTAAAAACACATAGTTGTTTAAAAAGAAGTATGTAAATTGTAACTAGCAGCTATACATATCATTTTTCGAAACAACTGTTTCTTTTTTTATATTAATTGATTTCTTTCATTATTTTATAGATAAAAGTATTCAGGTAAGATTGTTGAAAAATAAATATTTTACGATATATTTTATAGTTTGTGTAAAATTATATCAAATTTAAATATAAAATATCTCGTAAATCTCTCTATTCATTTTTTGGTCACCTTCTATAATTTTTTTGTGCCGAAAGTAGTGAAGAATCGATTTATATAAAAAAAAACATGGTGATTTAATTTTAAAAATATAAATGGCCTTTAAATAATTTTGAAAAGCACCCTTTAGAAAAAAGTTTGTAGCACCATTTTCTGTCCCCTTTGAGATCAAACAACTTTTATTTAAAACATTTTATTGTACATTCAAAAATGAAAGTTTTTGGGGTAATCGATTAAAATGGACATCCTGTATATATATGTATAATTTTTTTATGATATCTAGTTTTGGTCAATATATCATTTTTTTCTTTTTTACATAGAGAATTTAATATATAGCTGGCATCTTTATAGTTTATTTCATATATACACTTACAATTTTTTTCTTCTGTCTATATTTTTGTAGATATTAAAATTACGATTTAGAAAGGATCAAAGAGTTGCTGAAGTGCGAAGATTACTCAATTCTTCAATACAAGGAACAATCACGCTAGTACAATATCAGAATGAAAGCAATAATGATTTTTTACACAGGCTGAGGATGAATCTGTACATATATAAATTATCAAGAACGATGGCACTTCCTGTAGGCAGAGGCATGTTTACACTGAGAACTTCCACATCGCTAATAACAGAAAAAGTACCACCATTGTGTTTAACAGGTATTATGTTTATATTATATGCTATGGGCTAATTTTAAACTTATTTTCTTAAATACCATATTCTCTTTAAAGTTTAAAGAACGGTGATTCTTTTACATCATATATCTGCGCGTAAAAATAAAAAAAGGTTTAATCTTAAAAAAATTTAGGTCTATTAAATATACGTATGAATATTTAACTGAAATTGTAAATATATTTAGAGATATAAATGTATATTTATTTGATATCAGCTAAATTAAAACGAATAGATGTATTAAAAATTATCAAGAAAAGAACAAACCGTTTTACGAATGAAAAACTAATTGTTTTATTCTCATCAGCCAAAGCATCTCCCGGTGGGGAAATCGTTAGTATAGACACTGACTTATTCCATTGGCCATTATTTCATAACGGTGTAGCCGCAGGCTTATGTATTCACCCGGATGCCGCGAACATCGATTCGTCTTATATAGTATCTAATATTTCTGAGTCCTGGGAAGAAAGAGCGGGATTTTTAATGGCTCTTGGTTTAAATGGACACCTTAAACATTTAGATCCGTTAAATATGTGCGACTATTTTGGTAGATGTCATGATTTTGTCAACCTTGGACTGATACTGGGTTTGTCAGCGACTCATCGTGGTACGATGAGCTTAGCTATGACTAAGTTATTAACATCACATATCAAAATGCTCTTGCCTCCGAAGAATAATTTGCATATTGACCAGAATACTCAAATAGCGGCATTGATGGGCATAGGTCTTGTTTATCAAGGAACCGTTTGCGAAAATATTTCAACTGCTTTATTAATTCAAATTGGTAATTATATACATATAATATTGGTAACGATGGAATTGGTAATTATATACATATTATATACATATTATATACATATTTCCTGGCAGACAAATTTACAAAGCTCAAAGAAATTTTTGCAAACGTTAATATCCAATATTTATTTAACTAGATGCGCGAAGTGATGAGAAAGTTTTTTAGATTTTTATTGAAGTTTAAACTTTCTCTTATTTTTGTTTTAAAGATATAACAATAAAAACATGGTATTATCTTGAAGAGATAACGTACACTGAGATACAAGAGATAACATTGTAGCATAAAAATTCAGAGCTAGATAAATGTTATTAGAAAGTAAAATGATATTTGTTTTTTTAATTATTCTTTTTTTAAAAATATATAATCGTTAATAAAATGTTATAAATATTAATGATATATTATACATATTCAAACGAAATAAATATTTGAAACAAAATTTGATTAAGAAAAAATGTATAGATAAACCTTTAAAATTAATTTATTTATTGATTTTTCTTGCTCTGCTCATAATATATGTTAACATAAAAATGTATATTTATAGCTATATTTCCAAAACCTAGAAAGATGTGGGACAATCATGAATCATATTCCTTGACAGCAGGACTGGCATTAGGCTTGGTCACACTTGGTTCTAATGGAACAAATATACCTACATATGTGCTAGACTTTTTGCACTATTACATGGTCGGTGGAAAGGAATCTTTTTTCGAAGAACTAAAAAATAAATACAAATTCTGCAGGTATAATGAAATTTGTAGAACATCTCTTCGATTCTGTTCTAATTTAGAAAAATAAAAAAATGTGAACGTTCGCAAGAAGTAACAAATTATTTTAGTAATACAAAGTTATAATATCTCATGCAATTGAAAACAAAGTTAACATCTTTAAATTAAAAAAAATCAAAGTTCCCGATTTTTCGGAAAATTTAAAATTAAAACAATTATATATTAATATTCAAAGTTGGGTAAGATAATTATTTTTTTAAACTAAGTTAAAGTTAACCTTAAGGGTTTAAAATTATTTTAATTACATTAAAAAAGTTACATGAACAAAAAACTAACTCAGTTAAGTTAAAAGTTAAGATTAAATTAATTTAAGTTAAATAAAAAGTTTTAATTTTTAAAAAAATATTTATATTACATTAAAACGTCATAACTTTAAAATTTATTAATTAATATATTAATTGTTAATTTTTTCAATTTATATAAAATAGTAAATAAGAATTTTTTTAATGTAAAAATAACTAGTTTAAGTTAAAAATTAACTTATTTTAAATTAACTAACAATAAGTTAACAATAAGTTAGAAGGTATTCACTTTTTATTTTACTCTTTTGACTAATTAACTACAATTGAAATGTTATTATAATATTAACAAGCTTAGGACGGCTAATATTATAATAACAAATATAATAACAAAATTAATCTATTTTTCGGGATAAGCACTTTTTTGAAATAAAATCTATACTCTCGCAAACTATTATGGATGTTCAATTTCTCAAGAAATCAAATACATTGGACTCTTCTTTGTCACTTTGTAGCTTTACATTGCCGAAAGATGAGTCGATAAATATCAATATAACAAGTCCGGCAGCAACAATAGCCTTAGGATTAATGTATTTTGATACTGGAAATCGTACGATAGCCGAATGGATGAAAGTACCTGAAGAGATCTATTTATTAGAATCTATAAGACCGGATTTTCTGCTGCTACGAGTATTGGCCAAGTCGCTAATTTTATGGAAGGACATCGAGCCAACGAAATCGTGGATTTCCAGTCATGTACCTGATATCGTTAATAAATTTAAATTACAAGAACTTACGCCGGAAAGTGTAGCACTGAATATTGATTTAGAAACTATCAAGTGATTGATTATATATTTCTTATATATTTTTAAAAGTTTCTTTACTTTTGTATCTTTATTTCTCCAATTATGTTATTAATGATATTAATAATAAATAATAATAAAATCATTTTTTTTTACAGTCTGGCTTACTTAAATATTATAGCTGGTGCTTGCATGGCGTTGGGATTAAGATACGCAGGCACTGCTAATAAAAATGCTTTCAAGATTTTATACTTTCATACTCGAACGTTTATGCACTTGACGAATAAAATCCGTCAATACAAATCAATTTTGAAAGCAACAATTGCAACGTGTCTGAACATTATTCTTTTATCATTCACAGTGGTAATGGCTGGTACTGGTAACTTATATGTAAGCCTTGATATTCGATAATTACGATCAGTTATCACAGAAAATTTTGATTATTGATTATTTAATATATGTATATATATTATTTTTGATTATTTTATATTGTTATATATTATTTAATATGATTAATATTTATACATATATTATATATATATATATATATATATATATATATAATATATAAAATATATATCTAGATTATGAGAATATGCAGACAGTTACATAAGACTCACGCACGCGGAAAATTTCTCTATCGTATGTACGATTCTCAAATGGCAACACACATGGCTCTCGGTTTTCTTTTTCTGGGAGGTGGGAAATATACTCTTTCTAATAGTCCAAATGCAGTGGCAGCTCTTATAATTTCGCTTTTTCCGGTATTTCCAAGAAACGAGAGCGAAAACAAGTTTGTATATTGTATCTATAATATATTCTGTGATGTAAATTATTTCTAATTCTGTGCCCCAATATTTTCACAAGATATCCACTATACATACATATACATACATACATACATTTAGTTAATTTAAAATAAGTTAATTTTTAACTAGTCATTTTTAAACTTTTTTCCTAAATTAATTTTTTTTTATCTTTGAATGCTATTTTAAAAAATTTTAAATATTCGACACTTTGCATTACATTTTTAATAATGATTAAATTTTAATAAGAGCATTATTCTGTCATTCTTACAAGTATTATGAATTAAATAAAGGTTTTATATTAGTTTTTATTTTCTTTCATAATTATAATTACCAAGAAAAAAATACATTTCTATATAAAAAACTAAATTTTTGTTATTTTATATAACTTTAAAAAATTAACAAATAAAATATTCAATTTCGAAATTTAAAGTTATTACATTTTAATTTAATATAAATGATATTTTGAAAAATTAACTTTTAATTTAATTTATTTAATTTTATCTTAATTCAACTTCAACCGAGTTACTTTTTGTTTATGCAACTTTGAATATAACTAAATTAATTTTATAAGCCATTAACTTTAACTTTTGTTATTTTCACAGGCAACATTTACAAGCGTTTCGTCACTTTTATGTATTAGCAGTTGAACCACGTGTTATCTTACCAAGAGACATAGATACTGGTGAATATTGTTGGATTCCGATACATTTAACATTCGAGACCGATAGAGAAACCAAAGGACAAGAATTTAGTCTGCAAATTGTGAAAGCACCTGATTTATTATTACCACCATTGTCTAATTTAAAAAGAATTGAATTAAAAAATATGAGGTATTGTCCAATTGTACTTGAGAAGCATCACAATTGGCAACAGTTAAAAAATATGCTGGAAAGACACTTCTTAAGTATCAAAAAAAAAGCTGGTCACTTATCATACTTGGAAGATCCTTTTGCAAATTATATGGAATTATCTGTATGTGTTTATGTGTAGAATATTACTTTATACAATTAATATCTTATATATATACGTAATTCTTTTTCATTATTTGCTTTCATTGACAAACGAATTTTTATAAATATTAATATATTATATTAATTTCTCATTTTTAGGGATCTAAAAGCTTAATAAATCAAACTCTAACGATGAGAAATGTAATCCCATGGGTTGTTCAATCAAAGTACTTGGTATCATCTACAAGAGATCAGACTCTACTGAATATAATAACATATTTTTTACAATGCTTTAAGAGAGAAATTACTAGAATAAACATCGAGCATTTATCACAAAATGGTACGATGAGATATTCATTTCAAAAGACCAGCGAACAATGTGTCAATTTATATATTCCATGCAGTGTGTTTTGCAAAATGACATTTTTATCGAACGACATTATTGTAAATTTACAGATGATCAATGGAGAAAACCGTCAGAATTCGAACGATCATTTCTTCAAGAATGTACGAGAATTATATACAAATGCGTTATGAAAGACAAAGTGAGTTTGATACCTTTATGGTTACATATAATTAGCATTCAGAAAATGATTGAGAAACAACCAAATAGCTTTTCAACGTGGCAAATAAAGCTTCTTTCGTCACAAATGTCGAGAAGAATTAAATGGTCTATAGATGATACAAATCTGCCATTCTTTTGTGAAAATATACTTGCGATTAAACAGAAAATGACAGATATTTTCAATAAATGGGAGTATGGTAATAACATATATTGCATTGTATTTTTAAATGATTTTGTTGTATTCTATTTATTTTTTTCTACTTTCCACAGACGTGAAACTTTTACTTAAACAGTATCTTACTGATGGAATGATACAGACTAATGCTATATCTCTAGCTAGAATGTGTGCTTATTTTATATTCTACGATATACCATATCCAATCGATAATAGTAAGTCTTCTCATATGTAAGCATTGACTGTATTTATATTTGATGAAAACATTTTTTTATTTTTTGTGCTTATTTTTTAGGAAATTTTTTTATGACAATGCAACACTCCTCTGATATATCGAATATCGGAAGATATAAATTATATAAAATTTTGCAGCCAACTTTACAACATTTATAAGTAAAATCTGTACACTGTGATATATGTAATATTATAAATTATTTTATAGATTTATTTAAAAGAAAATCTTACTTTTCTTTTTTCAATTCCATCTTTTATATTTTTGTACTATTGTTTTTGCAAATTAAAATAATGTGACTGCATGCTAAAATGTCTAATATATAAAATAATATTGTAGTTTATTTTATTATGACAAGAATATGTTTTGTAAATCTTGGTTCAATATATATCTAATATGAAATATTAAAAATTTTTTTTAATGTTATGTATGTATATATGTATATCTAAGAAAATACACACAAGAATAATAAATATTATTTATTGATATAAATATTATTTATTATTAAAAATATTTTAATTTGTATAATTATTTACAATTATATGTATTAATAATTTATAATTTAATTATGTAATTGTATATATTTTTATTGTAAAAACGAAATATATACATATAAAATATATCAATTTTTTAAGATTGTTCTATATATATATATATATATAATAGATCAGTTATTAATCATATATATTGTCATTTTTACATATACGTCATCATAAATTATCAATCTATTCTCCGACAAATCTGTAAGATAATATAAACATATAAGAAATAATAATTGATAATTATAATAATATATTAATAATATATATTAATTAGATATTTCCATATATGTATATTTTTCAGATTATATATAAAATGTAAAATTTAATTGATAAATATATATAAATATAATTATTTAGCATTTTATTTAATCTAAAACAGTTTATTTTTCTTATGTGGATCTTTTAGCACTCGAAAAATTATTTTGCAAAGAGGTATATATTAAATATATTTTTTTTTAGCAAAGTTAAAAAATATTTTAAATTCTGCGTTGAAAACGCAAAAAAATTTGAATAAAAATTATAAATAATTGATATTATCGATTGGCGCTAAAGTATACTTTCCTTCTTTATCTTGGGAAAAATCCTGACCGCAGTGTATATATGCGTGTACAATACGAGAATAATTGGTTATACTCTGATAAATCATCTTTAATCAAGTATTAGAAGGATCCTGGTAATTAAAATTCGTGCGTTAAAAAATATATTTCCGATTATTTTCGAGAAATAATTTGAGGAAGAGGAGAATTAAACTTTCATCATCTTTGACGTCTCTGTTACTTCGATGGCATTGACAGGACCCGACTTGCCGAAGACTCCGGCTCCTCTGAAAAGCATTCATCAATATTTAACGATCGCGGCGAAGCACGATCAGCGAGACTGTGTCGTTAGTTATTGGTGTACGTATATAATAATATATACATTTCTATTTCTTAGCTATGTGAAGATATTTTTCAGTACTAAAATATTGTCAGTGTCTCTTACACCTTTATTTAGATATATTTTTTATTGGGTTTCTAATAACCATTTCTTGCTTCTACTCTAATAAACCAAAAAAACATCAAAATTTATCTCACCCAAACAGGCCGTCTTTATGCTCTTCAAACTGGATTGAAGCTATCTACGAAGACATCGGAGGAAACAAATTTCTTATTAAAGTTAATGGACTGGCTGGAGGCAACAAAGAAGGAATTGCATGACAACGAGGCCATCACTAACGATGTAGCTGCTCAAGCACACTTGGAAAATTGGGCCTTGAAGCTCTTCTTATATGCCGATAAGAACGACAGAGCTGCAAATTTCTCCAAGAACGTAGTGCAGAGCTTTTATACCGCACAGGTATTGTATGATGTGTTGACACTGTTTGGAGAACTGAGCGTAGAAGCAGCACAGAATCGAAAGTATGCGCAATGGAAGGCAGCTTATATCCACAACTGCTTGGTGAATGGGGAAACTCCAGTACCAGGGCCGATGAAAGAAGAAGGTGAAGAAAATGATGCTGTTGAGCCATCGAACCAAGATGGTAAGACTATTTGTTCTTTCGTCAAGTTATTAAATATTAAGAAACATTTTTTTATGATCAGTAGATGAAGATGCAGATTTGAATTCTGCAGCTGAAAGTCCCAAGGATAATACTCCCCAAAATTTTCCATCTATTCCTGCAAATCCACTAAGTACAAGAACTCAGTTATTTGATCCAGAAGATGCTGCATATAAGACGGAAAGTAAGTTCTATAATATATGTTTTAAAATTTTTATTCATAAAAATATTTATGGAAATAAGAAAACAAATAAATAATTAAAAATGCAGTATATTTGTGCACATTGTGTATCTTTAAAGATGCAGAATGATTTGATGTGAAATAATTATTTCATTTTTGTATAATAAAATTTTATAGGCGGTGCTACTCTGACGGTAGAGCAAATTAGTAAGGCTCAAAAGTTTATGAAATGGGCGAATAGCGCATTGGACTATGATGATATATCTACTTCTGTAATGAATCTGCGGAAAGCATTGCATCTTTTAACTACTGGCCAGGAACCTGCATAGAGGAAGAAAGCGCAACTATATAACTGCTTGCTTTGCAATTATCTGCGTTAAACTTGTCGCCTGTTTCCTGTAATGGTCAGTAAAAAATATTTTATTAACATTGAACAATTTTTATATACGTGCAACTTTTTTGAATACAGATAATAGAAGGCGAAAATAGAAACAAGTTTACAATAACTAGTCAAATTGGCCTTGAATAATACGTATGTGTTGCACTTATATATAATTAAAACGAAGGTTGTTACAGATTACGTTTTTAGCTGTTGTTGTTCACAATAAGATATAATTGTAGATTGATCATATTTATTAAAATTACTTGCCGTGAGAACTTCAATATGTTCTCTAATAAAAATTCCAACGTCGCAATATTCTGTTCCTCAAATAATGTTTTTAATAACATTATCAATGTAAACATTTTTTCAGAAAGAAAATTATTGTTATTTATAAACTAAAGAAATTAAGAATATTTAAATATCATAAGTCAATTAAATATTACAAGTTCCTGAAAAATTATAAATTATCCTGAAAAAAAATTAAAAATGTTAAAATAAATCTCATTGCAAATATTAACTGAAAATGTTTTGAAGTAGACAGCTTGATATATGATTTTTGAGGAACAGCACGTTATATATTTGCGAACTTTAGAATTTAATTTTCCGTAAATAAAATGGATTTATTATATTTCGTGTCGCGGGATGTATACACTTAACACATCTCTTGTACATAATATATTTTTTATATATACTTAACGCCGGAGAAAAATAAATAAATAAAATATATATACACACATTCATGAATATTGATCTTCTCAATTTCCTTATTTTTATTAAACATTGCATAATATAAAAATGTGGTTATATCGAAAAGTTTTAACATTTAAATGACAATACACAATACTTTCTTGGTACAACATTTAAACGACGTAATTATATGCGTATTTCATTGTGATTTTATATACAAACAAGAAAATTCCAACATTTAACATAATTATGCTTTGGACAAAGATATACCATATGGTATATCTTTCAAGTCCAAAGCAAATTAATAATTTATAATAATTATTATATTTTTATAAAGAGAGAAAGATGTCGATTTTATTCAAGTGCATAAACATTCCACAAATTATTACCAATATATCCTTCGCGTGAAAATATGATTGTGGATATTGAATGGTGATTAAAGAGGTCTATCTATTGATTTCTGACTTTTAATTTCGGTTTTATTTATCAAATCGTCCGATCACACACTCATTCTTATTCGCACGTGAAGTTTTTAAGAAATAAATTAACATTTCATACGCGTTTTGTGTGTTGTGTCTCGATTACGAAGAAATTCATTTTCTCTATATATCCATACACGCATCCTCGCACGAAATATTATAAGGACACATTCATTCAAGTGGCAGTTAGTACCTCATGCTTAAGCTAACGTCACCGAGAACCGATCGCATCAATGTCGATTAATGACAAATTAATTTAATTTAACTTAATTTAATTTGATTAAATTTTCTTTCTCCGCTTATATCATAACTAGTCCCATACATATCATGATTTTCTTTATATTATACTTGTTTATATCGTGTCTATATATAGAAGGACTATCTCTAGTTTTATTTTATTTTTGTAGCTATATATATTTTTTAATTGTTTATATAGCTGCTTATATTACAATATTTTGTAGCTATAAATATGTTTGTATTTGTGTACGATAGTCGTTATTTTGTAATTATAAAAGGGATAAAAAGATACGAAGAATTATTAATCGGAATAAGTTAATCATAAGTTTAAAATTAACATTGATAATAATTATTTCTGCTGCCTTGTTTTTTTGTATCATTGTTCTACCTGGTATAATATAAAGAGAGATAATTCTTTTAAGCATGGCCAGCGGAAATCGACATTGATGCAATAATATCTTGTCTTAATAATGGATCCAATTGTTGCGGGATGAAACACTATCACATCGATTAGCGAAAACAACCGATCTCTCATCGGACTGCGATTACTATTAATATTAACAATCAAATTTTGTATTACAGATTCAATTTAATTAATCACTAAATTAGTTGTATAGTGCATCAAGATAAATCCGTATTTATATCAAATAATTTGCGCCATGAATGATAAGAAAGGTATATAAAGCTAAGAAATTTTTTTTTCCAATTGCAAATCTTATCGCGTCTGTAAACTTAACGACGCGCGCTTTTTATTCTCTAAACCATATATTGCAATATAAGTGCTCAAAGTAGATATAGAGTGCAACGAAGATTCATCTCACTATTCGCATTAAAAATCATCACCGTAAATCATTCAGTTCCCATCTCGCTTCTTCTTTCAAAAGCGCATATTCTTCACTAATTTAACATATGATCCCAAATGATGTTTCTTTTTCTTCCTAGATATTATATATAGATATAGTTTCTTGTCGAGTATCTCTCAAGTTTATACACATCAAAAAAGAAAGAAAAAAGATGTTGAATAAATGGTGCCTCTCGAGGTTTTTTGAAAAAAAATGAAAGAGAAAGATGTTTGAAATAAATAAACCCTAACTTTACGGTGTTTCGTAGTGTTCCAGAAACGAAATCGTGAGATTCAAGTGAGTTAACGTGATAAAAAATGACGCGTTCTTCAAATGTAATCCCGCTCAGTCTTGCTTCTTAGCTTTGTCATCGACGCCGTTTGCCGTCACCGATTGCGTATCCTCTCGTCTCAGCTGCCAGTCGATCACCAATCGCCCCGTCAGCATAAAGAAGAATACCTGAAGAAGGATCACATTTCATTTTTTATACTAGATCACGTGATGGAAATACGTGAAATTTAATGAAATTACTCACCAGTGCCGGAGCGATCCTCTCGAACTTATCGTTGACCATGTAATGGGAGTACACGGCCATCAGCATCAGGAGAAGCAGCACAGTGTTCGAAAAGTTCTTAACTTTGTCTGAAAAAAAATTTATCACGATATTAATTTTCTCGAATCTTTCTAATTCAAAGTTTGTAAGATACAAAACGTTTCTACAATAGAGTTAAAAATATACACAGAAATGAAAATCTATATGTGAATTTAAGTATCTGTGAAAAAATTCTAGGTATCTACAGTAAATTTAACAGTAAATTCGTGTTAATCAGTCAATCAGGTCAAGAATCGATGATGTGTGAAGAAAATCTTCGCAAAACGGATATATGTATATAATCTGACGCAGAAGTGGAGTAGTTGATTCTTTGCACCTACGACTTGGAATAATCGCCATGGCGAGGCCGCAGATGATCTCGAGGGAGCCGACGACTCTTCGATACCACTTGCTGGGTACCTTGAAGTCGAGCGTCCCCGAGAGCGGGAACACTTTTGCGTATTTGACATATTCCTTTCTCTGCGAAACAAGAAAGGGAAATTAGTATTTTAAAATATCGGTAAACATAGGTTTAAAAAATAGAAAATAAACCGTTTGTATATCAAGAGATTATACGTAGAGATAGAAAGTAATCAAATTTAAATATAATTAAAGGAAAAATTATTGATAGAAAATAATATTAAATATTTAATATATGGTCTCAAATAATTTTTCTTTAAGAAAATCGAAACATGAACTATGTTTTGAAAACGTAAATAAATAACGAATTATACTTTTTAGATAATTAGAATCTTTAACAAAAGATTGTTATTTCTCTCTACTTTCTTATCATGATTAAATTTTAAATATAAAAATATAAAATACATATATATATATATATATAAATCTCGTTAAAAAATTATTCAAATAAAATATCTCATTGTGTGTCTAATTATTATACGTTATATATTTATTTAAGTTTAATATCATAGTATGTAATGGCAAAATAATTGAGAAAGCCCGTCTTGGCAGTCTCAGACAATTCAACGAGGATATGAAGAAAATGCGAAGTATATAAATATCATTCGCCAGCAAGTCAGCAAGCTTATTGGCGTTTGACCAAACAATCTGTACGAGTGTTTACTTTAATATCATTTTCGTTGGGTAATGTCGTAGTTACCGAAATAGCGGAATGATACACCGAACGATTTGCCTTATATTAGATACTTTGCATTACTTAATTTTTTTAAAAATGTTTGCAAAAGGAAAACGATATAAAATATTGTAAGTTTTTTAACAAGAGACAAAATTTTGACAATAATTAAACACATTGTGTTTATCACACATACATATATCTATATATAATTTATCAATCGTTCAAAATATTTTGCGAGGTGAAAGCTTGTATGTATTCTAATACGTTCCTGATACTATATATCGTTATTGAGCGTGTGTATATTTTTACATCATCTATAAAGAGCTATACGATATGGCATGCGCCTTATAATGTGATTTCAGAAATTTATATTTTTTCTGACAGTCTTGAGATCCTTTCATTGCAACTGTCATAATCAGCTGATTGAACTGTCATAATCAAGTATTGTTATCGTATTAATCAAAAATTGTAATTTTCTCTCAAAATTGTAGTTTTATTTTTATAAAATTAATTTTAGCATCTCTTCTTTTATTTTATCACAATTATATCAATTGTTTTAAAAAATTGATAAAATAATTATCAATGGATTGTATGATAAGACAGGTATAAAATAAATTGGAATGAAATATAAATTGTGGATGTGCCAAACTGTAAAATGTCAATTATAATTTTAGCAGTCATTTGAATCGTGTTCTTCTAATTCTAAAGAGTGCCAAGATATTAAATAAAAAATATAACTAGTTAATTTAATCTCAATTATATATATATACAATATATAATATACATATGTTAATACAGTTTCTGAAATCCTTATTAAGATTTGTTTAAAATTTTTTTGTACGTGGCAAAATTTACTTTTAAAACAATGCATCAATTCTGTTAATCTATTCAAATTTATTTTTAAATGCGATAACTATTGTTTCTAATATCTTCAAATTTACAATTTTCTTAATTTGGTTTTTGTACATAATTATACAGATTTATGTATAATAGAGAGAACAATACATCGTATGAAAATCTTAAGAAGCATCCATTTAAATTTAAACTTAAATGTGTGTAGGGAGATTAAGATTGAGAAATTTAAAAGCATCGCGCATGCGTGCTTCCTATTAATATCATTTAATTAGAATATAAATTCTCGCTAAATTGAAATTATAAAGAGGCATTTTGGTAACTCTCTTTCTTTAAAAAAAAAACATATTAATTAAAATAAATTAATATACTTCGCAAGGCAAAATTTTCTCATAGGATACGATATAAATGACACGTTCTTTAAATTTATAAAGGGTCAGACAATAATTTGCTACTTAAAGCTCCACATAGTGAAGATACCGACATTTGCATATGAGAAACTATTATAAAAATCTATTATAAAATAGATCAACGATCTTCGCAAAGCGTCATACGTTGAAACACGCGGAAACGGACATCGTGGGAACCTGGACATCGCTCCCTTGAGTGGCGAGGGGAAAACGCCATCAACACGTTACATAATCAGCCAAGCCGGGCTCTCCGCCGCATGACAGACGGGATACAGATGTACACGCGGTGCGTATATCCACTTTCGTACATCGAAATTACATAAGCAAGCGGAGGCGAGACGGACAATATATGTATACAAGTGACAAATGGCGGCCAGTCTGTCAATTCGACATAATCACAAATAGTCTCTCTTTTCCTCACTGTTTATACAATTATTTGTTATATTTCTCCCCATTATTTTATATATAATTACTTGATCTTTTTTTCCTCGCTATTTATACAATAATTTTCTTCCTCATTACTTATAGAATTATTTTTTATCTTTTGTTTCCATTATTTATATAATTATTTTAATTACCTAATTGTTAATAATTAATTAATTGAACGTTACATTCAAGCAATTTGACAGTCAACAGATCAAATGAATAACATATACATTAATAATGATAGATTGATAGATTCTGACATCTGTCAAACTCGCAACCATTTTAATTGGATTAAATCTTTAACTTAGCATCCACAAAACAGTGATTGATATATCATAGTTAATGCGAAATTAACTTCTTTTTCGCTTCAACAATTATTTATCTTCTATCAATTTCGATTTCGTTAAATGTATCATCATTCGACTGTCAAATTTTAATGAATCGACCTTCATCAATCTCTCGCTTTATCGGAAACCCGTTGATCAATTATTCGCCAGCTCGAATTACAATAATACACCGGATGGGAGGAGCGGTTTAACGACAAAAGATACGTTTTTTATTGATTTCTGAAGTCAATAAAACAACAGACACCACTCATCCCTTACAATCAGCGTCTTATTAAAGCGAACGGAGGGACTGGAGGACTCACCAGGTCCTTGTGCAGGTCCTTGCTGATGTGCGACGTCAGCTTCATGGTGCCGACGAAGACGAAGAATATCCCCAGCAGCACCGAGAGCGACTTCAGCACTATAGAGCCCATCTTGACCGGGCCCTGTGTGTACGCGAATGCCGCCGATCGATTACCGGAAGCGTCCCGTGATTAAGCGCGGATCTCGCACCTCGTCGTCGAGGCGGAGGGAGACCGACAGAGAGAAAGAGGGGGAGAGATAGATAGAGAGAGAGAGAGAAACGATACAGTCTAGGAGCACATGCCCGCGAGAAATGAAGCTCGTTCCTCCGGAGGTTGTTAGAAGACGAAGGTGACGACGACGACGACGGCGGCGACATCCATAGCGCGGGTCGTTTCGACGTCCTCTGACGCCGCGGACGTCTCCCTTCTCCTCTTTCTCTTCCTCTCTGGTGACGATGACGTCAGCGGCCGACGCGCGCCGGCTATTTTCTGATCGATATACGGAGCAGTCGCGGCCGCTTCTCATCCCCTCGCTAATCGATATATAGAGATGTTCCCCCTCCTCCTTCTCCATCTTCTTCTTCTTCTGCTTTATTGCAAAATGACTCGGTGGACCTAGAGAAGAGAACACACAACTCGAGTTACGCTGGATTGTAAATCTCAGGCTCCTAGCTCTTCTGGATCATGTTGGAGTTGTGACGTCAGAGAAAACACATGCTACAAATTCTTAGAAATAAAAAGATATTTTGATAAAGCAGCATTTTAGATGGTTTTGGCACATTCTTAAAATATCTCAGACTATCCTTTTCCTTTTATAATTAATCAACAGCTGTAAAATGAGGCCCAGTTTGTCTGGTCTTTGCGTATGCGCAGTAATTCCGCATGGCAAAGTCTGATATGATGATTATCGAAATATCTTTTCATTTAAAAATGATATCTAAGAATTTTCAGCGCGTGCTTTCTCGCCTCTGATGTCACAATCTGACACGGCAAGGATCCAGGAGCTTTAAAGATAAAAAGTAGAAACTATTATGAAAAATATACTTGTCGCGTGATCTCTAGACTTATATCTATTCCTATGTATATACAAAGCTTTTTTATTGACACCCTATATATAAAGATAGAGGAGTCTTACAATTATTTACATGCACGCACGGCTTTGCAGGCTCGTGGCTTCAAGAAGGGCTCGTTGCTAGAATTACTGTTAGTTACTGCTGTGGAGGACGTTTTGTCCGTGTTCATCAGGACAGTCATCGAAGCGTTACTGTCGCTCAAGGTCACGGCTCTTCGTCGTCGCACAATCACCATCCCTTTGCTCGGTTGGTTCTTCTTGTTCTTCATCGTGGACGACGTCGTTCTCTTCATGCCGCTCGTCGATGAAACCTCGATCTTTTCTTCCACCTTTGTTTCCTTCAATGTCGCTGCTTCTTCCGGCGCGGTTTCGCAAAGTCCCGACTCTTGGACAGCGTCGACACGAGCATCCTGAACGTAATTATGATCGCTGAGGCACGAATGGTTTCCCTCAACGTTGCTGTTTTCTGATATCCGAGGAGAAGTCTCGCTTTTGATTGGCACTTGATTTTCGTCTCCCTTTTCGATATCACAATTAAGCGCAGCTTCGGAACCGTTTGATTTTTCATCAATTTTGCGAGTATTATCACTATTATTCGCTTCTATAATTGTAACAGGACTATCAAAGTTCTTAGATTCGCTTACTTTGTCCTTGTTGATAGCGCTTTCAACATCAGGATCTTCTATTCTTTTGACTTCGGTGTTAGAATCAGCCGTTTCTTCAATTTTCGTAGCCGTTTCGACGATAGAAGTCTTCGATTCTTCCTTCACGCGACTTTTAACGTCTTCATCTTCGACATTACTATCGCACACCTGTTTAATCGGTTCAATATTAGTGTCAGTAGTCGAATCGACAGTCAAATTCTCATTACATTGAACCTCGCATACTTGTTCGAGCTTTACAGTGGTACAAATGGTCGAATCAATTAAATCCTCATTATTTTGAGACTTGTATGTATCTTCGACCTTGTTACACTTTCGCGTTTCGTCAATTGCATTATTTGTGTCAGAGGAATTCGATTCCACCACCTTTTCAGGATCTTTCAATGTTGTTTGCACAGGACACAACGCTGCTTCGACTTCTTTTGCGCCAATATCCGCCACTTTATCTGACTGGTTTCCGGTAATTACATCGTTCTGAAGAGGGATTGACTTGTCATTTGTTATAGATGCGATCGTAGGAACGTCTTCGTTTTTATCTTCAACTTTTGTGTCATTTTTAACCAATTTATGATCTTTTGAAATTTTCGCCGAATCCATTTTCTTCTCAGGACTATCGACAATTTCACCTTCCTCCAGGCAATTCGAACTCTTCGTCGGGGTGTCTTTCGTCGAATTTATAGACTTAATATTTGATTCGTTCTTTACCTTGTCTTGTTCCGCGGTCTTTTTGGCATTTTGATTCAGCGTAGGATTTACAATTGTACGACTAGAAGACGACCGGAAATCCATTTCCGTTTTGTCCCTTTCATGCAAACCTTTGTTGTGCAAAACATTTGCCGCTGTCTCTTTTATCCTGCGACTTTCGTACCTTTTACTCTTGTACGAACTAGTTGAACTTCCCTCCTTGTCTTCGATATCGCTCAACGTGTGTCTAGATTTATCCCATGCCGGATCACCGCGTTCTCTGCTCCTATGTCTCGTCTTACTCTCACCTTCCACGCTCTCGTAGTCTCTCTTTAACCTGTAATCTCTCTTTGTTCTGTATTGACTGTCGTACTTGTAATCGTCGTATTTTCTGTTTCTATACGTCCTGTTCGATCTCTCCCGCAAACGATGGCCGCTTGAATTTTCATAGTCACTCTTGCTTCTAGAATAACTCCTTCTCCGCGAATTATATCTATAGCCGTCTTTCTTGTAAACGTTGTTAAGTTCTTCTTGAACGTGATTCGACGTCGAAGCGCTCCGAGAATTACTTCTCTCTTCCCTCCTCCAACCATTTGTACAATCTCGATTATATTTTGCCGTGTCTTGATGCTCCGAACCGACTCTGCGTTTATCGAGCGAAATCTCTTCTTCTTTAAGATGATGCGCGACGTCCAGGCGATCCTCGAACTTCGCGAAATTATCTTTCACCTCGTACTGTGCAAGATTGTCTTTCATCTCATATTGCACAGTGCAATCGTAATTAGTCTCATCAGTCTTGCCTTTGCTATCGTCGACCTTCAAACGTTTATTCCCACGCGTACTGTCCTCTTCATTCATCCTCTTTCCTGAATTCTTTCTGTATGGATTTTCTGTAAATAAGATTGAGTTGTAAGAATAAAAATATACCTATTTATTTTATTTTAATTTAGTTAATTTTCATATATATATTTTTATCTTATTATTCTTAAGCATGTTTATACACAAATTGTTCCAAAAATTTATACATCTTTTTAAGGTACAAATATTGAGAATAATATAATTAAAAAGTACAATATATTTTTTGAAGTATCAAGAGTTTTCTGTCTACATTACATAAATAATTATATAGAAGTGAAAATTGTTTTATACAATTTCATCTGACTTTATATAATACATATATACATATATATATATATTACCTGAATCAGAGTGTTGTGTGATAGTATTAGATTCACTGCCATCATTATTCATATGGATGAGATCCATTCTCTTTATCACTTTCTACGATATTTTCTTCAGGAACATCTTTTAAATTAGCTTCTATGACAAGCTTTAATGATGTTTTCTGCTTCATATCTTCTTTCTTCATGTCTTCATCCTTCATAATTCTTTTATGTAATCTCTCTGCAAATACTGTGGGCAATTGGACCTCATACTGTGGCTTTGTACTTTTATCTTCGTTGCGGTAAAATTCAGTTTTATGCAATACAGTTTCAGTCTCGTGTGAATGCACTAAGGGAGCACTTTCGTATTTTTCAACCACTGTATCCTGCTGATGTAATGATTTATGAGCAGAAAAATCTCGAGATTCACCCCTGTTATTTCTGCGAAAGGTTGTGTCATCTAATCTGTAATCATTATGACGATATTAAAAAGGAACTTTATAATTTTAAAAGCAACATTATAATTTTCATATTGAGCATTTTATTATACCGCTTTCTGAGATCGTTTATCATCCTGTCCTTCCGTGCAATTTCACCCTTTGCAGTTTTCAATAAAGATGACAGATTTTTCTCAAGATTATCCTTGAGCTTTTGAATACCTTCAAGTTTATTCTGGAGCGAACTAAGTTCTTTCTTTAATTCCTCGCAATTACAAACCTCGTCCTTCACAACAATTCAAAAACATCAACTTATTATTTGACTTTATATTTAATAATAATTACTTTTATAATCTAATATTATATTCTATGTACACAATCTTCATAATTTTATATATATATATATATATTTATAGATATTTTTTAATATTAAGATTTATGAGGATGTCTATTGTTTATAATTGGTTGAATCAAAGTTAGATTTTGCAAGATTTATTATAAAGAACTGTATATAATGTCGCAATACTTTAGTTGTATTTATTTTCAGAATCGTTATTCTTCGATATAAAAACACAAGTAATAAAAAAATAGATTTTGAAAATAAATATAAATTTTTTTTCTATATAATTTAAAAAATATGTATTCTCTATATAATAATACTATAAAAAGATATAAGATATTTTAAATAGATATATAAATAAAGAGTGGAATGATGAATTTCACATGCATGCTAGAAAAAAGCTATTACATTAATTGACAATAAACAATATATATATATATATATATATATATATATATAAATATATAAATAAAATAAACGTGATACAAACAATAAAAACAATATAATCACAGTTATCAGATAGAAAAACAGAAATACAGCTTATGGCGGGAAAAACATTACGTTATAGGTTATATTGATACAAGTATTTAATTTGTTTAGATTTTAATCTTTTAATGCAAGTACTAATTAATATATATTTGGTATATATATTATATATAAATAATATATATATATATATATATATATATATATATATATATAAATTGTACAAAGTAACATACTAATCGAGATCAACATTATTGTAAATATTTCTCACATTTTTGTCCAGATTCAAATTGATATTCGGCAAATCCGCATAAATGTCAATATCATCCTCCATTTTACGAGATTTCTCGTATCAAGACGATCATTGTGCCCAAATGATCACTTTTTCATTATTCTCTATCGTCACGTGCATCCATATGCGTAGCTAGTAGATATAAGACGGTTAACAGCTGATCGCAACCTGATTGATGCGTCTCCTTCTGGCCAATTTTCGTGCATTTCACATAATATTTCCAAATATTTTAAAGTACAATTTTTTTCTGCCTCTAAAAATTTCTCGACCACTAATATAAAATACACTCTCTTTTCTTCCCACTCACATTTTTCCACTTTACGTTTGCCACGTGACATATGTCAAGCGAGAGAGAGAGTGAGAAAGATGACATATTTATTACTAGAATGAGAGTGGGAGAGGGAAGGATCCAGAATAGAGGAGGATCTCGTGGAGTCCGATGATTTTTTACAGTCGTCCAGTTCAGAATAAAGGAAGTCCATCGTAAAGTGTTTTTCGAATGTAAACAATCTCATTTTTGTAAGCAAGCTCATCCTTATCTGAATCTAAAATCAATGAATGAAAATTGCATTTAACGTCAATTCTTACGATACATAACATATTTTTGGAAACATGTTTTTTTAAATATCGACAATAAATATACATATGATAAATTTTCTCATTTTTATATATAATAATTTTTATAACATGATAATTTATGTAAACACCTTTCTCAGAAACAGACTTTTAATTAGATTGGTGAATACGCAGTAAGAGAAAAATTTTAATTCATTCTTATAAAGAACAACCCAGATTGAACAACAATAAATGAGCTAAGAAAGAAACAAAAAACAAGAATAAGTTTAGAGTACATACTGGGTTTTAGATTTAATCTATTTTGATCACCGAAGCAAGGATGGAACCAATGGAATTTATCGCTGTGGAAAGCACTCCTGATCATTTAGATGAATTTGGAACAGAAGTTAATTGCGTGCCCTTTGATCCTTTTAAAGTGGAGGAAGAAAAACAAGAATTGACCGATGCACTGAAATATTGTATAGATCTATTAAAAGATGCGCAGATTATTATAGATTTGCAAAATAGTCGCAAAACCATCTCAAAGCGTTCCCAGCTCATGGGAAAAGAAATTCATCGTAGGATAGTAGATATGCTGCACTCCATGAAGTTTGAGAATGACGAGAAAGTGGTTAAACGTAATGAAGAGATGCTATCCTGTTCAGAAAAAGAATCATGTAGCACAATTAAGATAGAGCAAGAAAATTCTGACATTGTACTTGTTGAAAAGGTAATACAATATGATATATAAATAATTAATGGTTTATAAATATTAAGTATTTAATATATCATAAAGAGAGAGAAGAAATATATATACTGAATTACTTTACATAGTTCTAGTCTATATTAAATGAAAAAAAGATATGCATTTATAACAAAAAGATTATGATGTAATAATAAAAAAGATATATATAATTGAATCTCGTAGGTCCTTTCAAACTAATGCAGAGATAATCCAGTAAATGAATAATTTATATATTAGCCTTATAATAGTTTAATGATTTATGTGCAGAATATGTCAACCCTCAATCAATCATTCAAATCTGAAAATGAATACCATAGCATGGATTATGTGTATGAAAATTCAATGAAGATTGAAAATAATGAAAATACAAATAAAGAAAAATTACCGACATCACATAAGGTATGATTATATATGAGGATTATATTAAACTCATTGACTAAAGTTTTATTTCAACTTTTTTGTGAAATCTGTTTATGTTCACATGTATACATATTGTCGATTAAACTAAATATAGAGAAAAAATAATACTAATGAGAACATTGTCAGTGAAATTTTTGTTAATGATTTTAATTTATTAATATAAATTTTGCTAAATTATTTCGAAGAATTATAATATTTTATGGTACATATTATTATTGAACAAAAATACTTCTTTCAGAGACACATCAATCGAATACATCCTAGTATCGAAGATAGTATTAAAATTTTAGAACGGCTTGATAGAGGAGAGAAAATCGTCAACTTAGCAAAGGAATACAACCTATCTAAATGGAGAATTGGATTAATAAAGAAATCTAGGAGACATTTTCTAGAACAAAAAAAATTGATGAGGGAAGGAAAAATATACGAAAAAGACTTCCGGTTTGAACAGGCTTTGTACACATGGTTTCTCCAAAAAAGAAGCATTGGGGATTCTGTGACAGAATCGATGCTAAAAAGGCAGGCAATAGAATTCAATGAATTATTTAAGGGTACCAGAACTTTTAAAGGCATTAATGGTTTTATGAACGGATTTAAAACAAAACACAATATTAAATGTTTGACAAATCAAAAGGAGGAGATATTGTCTGCGGATCAGGAATTGAATAATAATTTTTATCAAATGTTTATAAGATATTGTACAGATAATAAGATACCATTAGATAAGATTTATAACGCCGACGAAACTGGACTCAATTGGAAGATGCTGCCGAATAAAATTGTCAGCTCCAAAGATGAACATCAATCTTCTGAAATAGAATCGGTGGAAAACAGAGTTACATTAATGGTGTGCACAAACGCGACAGGAAGTCACAAACTCCCAGTGTTAATTATAGGAAAAACAAATCCGCATTATTTAAAAAGCATAAAATCTCTGCCGGTTGTTTATATGAATCAGGAAAACGCCTGGATGGATGGGCAACTAATGTCAAGATGGTATCGAGAAGTTTTTCTACCAGAAATTGAACGTGTTCATAGATCGAGTAATGAGAAATGTCTTCTTTTGCTCGATAATGCCTCCAGTCATCTGTCAACGGAACGCTTGAACTCGATTAATGAACGATGCCGAGTGATCTTTCTGCCGCCTAGTGTAAGCTCCCTCGTTCAACCTATGAATCAAGGAATCATTGAGAAACTCAAGAAAATGTACAAGATAAAACTTCTGAAGGTAATGCTTACGTCGAGAAGCGCCAAAACGATTCCGAATTTGTTAGAGCTATTTGATATATATAAATGCGCATGTTTAATGAGCAAAGCATGGGGCGAAGTGACGAAAAGCGATATAAAGAATGGCTGGAGAAATATCTTTCCATTTTGCTCCAATCCAAAGCCAGAATTTGACTCTCAATCACTTCTACACATGGTGATTAAGATTCCTAAATATAGTAATGTTACATTGGAAGAGATTAATTCATGGTTGCACAGTGATGACAATGAACAAGGATGGCAGATATTAAATGATCGACAACTGGCCTTTCCCGAAGAGGACGACAATAATAAATAATATCTTGATGAAGATTTATAGAGCATATTTTAAGATAAGTAATATTACGAAAATTTTATAAACATATGAGGAAATTCGCTTCGAGACTGAAAAGATAAATATATACATATACTTGTATAAATGTACATACATACATACATACATACATACATACATACATACATACATACATACATATATATATATATATGTGTGTGTGTGTGTGTGTGTATATATATATATATATTATTCTATTTTTTATTTAATAATAAAAATGTGATTTTATAATAATTTAATCTATTGAATATTATTTCGTGAATATACAAATGTAGTATCTTCTGTTTCATTCGTCTAAATAAATATGCAATGACATTTTTACTTTGATACATGGATGATTAAATGATAAATATGAAATAATATAAAAAGAAAAAATATTAAGTTGCTTATTAAATTAATTCTGAACGTTCAAGAATAAGCATATAGTAAAAACATCGTTATTTTAAGAAGTTATAATAAAATAAATTTTATTTTATTGGATTCTTATTTTTAAAAAGTTTAACTGAATTTAATACTGAAAATTTATAAAACAATTTAAAACGTTTGTGAAAATTTACATGAACTATAGGGAACTTTTTGTATATTGAACAAATATAAGAGAATTTATAAGAAAGTAATAATATAAGAGAATAATATAAAAAAGAATATTATAAAAAATACAAAGCATAACTTAAATTTTGCAGTAAGTTTCATGTTACATTTAATGTTTGATTGCGCGTATATAAGTTTATAATTAATTACCTAAAAGGAAAAATATACCTACATAAATAATATAAATTCCTGAAAAAAATATTTTTGTGTAATAAAGTTAATTCTATCAGCATGAAATATCGTCAATGATAATTAATATGTAAAGCAAGAAATATAAAATAAAAAAAAACGCAAAGTATGTAAACATTCTAAAAAATATATTGTTTGCATACAAAAATTCATTTCTGTTAGACAATAAATGAGAGAATGATATTTCATTGACCTTTATTTAAGGCTTATCAGAACTTGTACAAAGTGTACGCATTCCGCGATATACAGTAAACGTACATAAAAGCTATAGATTGACGTAAACAATCAGATATCGATTCAGCAAACGAGATTACACAGCTTCATCGATATCACGTGGAAGTATTTGAACAGTTCGAGAACATTTTGTAAATAAGGCTTACATTAGAACTCTGCGTTTTTTTTCCTTTCACGTTAAATTTTATAGCACGATATAATATGTATATAATGTATTCTCATTTTTTTTATAATATATTTTATCATGTAAAGAGTTGGAGGCACTTAACGCCTTGCGTTCATACTAGTTTAACTTTTTATTTCACATCTTTGTTAATATTAGGCAAAGTACTGTTGTACGATTATCAAATAATGTAGTGTCTGATTATACAGGGTGAATAGAAATGCTCTTAAAGTTTGGCCACCTATTTCTGAAACACCCTGTATAAAACACTTGTAACAAAATGATTTCTTCAAAATCTTGGAGTTTCTGATTTCTTTTTAACATGCGTCAAATAAAAAAGTTGACTGAAATAATCGAGTCAAGTGTCTCGTTCTCTATACATATGAATATATTTATATATTTCTATAATAAGTAGATGGTATATTTCCCATACAAGGTATTAACTTCTTGTATTTTACATACGAAAAACTCTCTTATGGTATTTAGAGAGACAGAGTAAGTATTATGCAAATCTCAAATCTTCGACAAGAATTATTCAAGGAAACAAGGACGATATATGAATAGTAGAATAGTCAAATATTTGATGGCAGGACAGTACACAATCATATGGTATACAATTTTTATTATAATAATCTATCGATTTTGAAATAAAATTTATAAATACGTATGGAACTTTTTGTCCTAGTCTAATACTTTCTGCTTCCTTGTTTTTCTTTATCTGCTTGTCGAAACTTGATAGAATCTTTAAAAGACTTTAAGATATCAGTCCATGCAAGATTTATGTGTATGTATATATATATACATACACACACATAAATATATAAATTTTAATTATTAATGATGAAATACATATATTTGAAGATATTTTTCGTAGAGATAATAATGAGAATAACTAATCAATAATGAATTTTGATTGGAATAGCTCTGGAACACGAGCACAAATTTCGACATCGTCAAATCGGACTTAAATAAGAACTGAAGAATTCATCAAGAGAGAGAAAGAGAGAGAGAAAGATAATATAACTTTATAATTTGGTATTATATATAGCATAGTTTACATAATACTAGAAAATTAGCATATATATATATATATATATATATATATATATATATATATATATATATATTAGTAAGCTAATAAAAAACGCATTATGTAAACCATGCTGGAGATTCTTTCTTTTTTTTAAATATTCAATTTCATAATTTGTTAGAGATTTCATAAATATGCATACCACTGTGTTGTTTATTTCAAATTTTTGCAGCGAAGTCTCCGATTAAAATCTCGAAAGAGGGATGGCAAAGTGTGCGCTTGCCTCATTAATCAAAATCCATTTTCGTGCTCCCATGTTGAAATCATGTACGTTCGTACGTCATTGCTAGCGACGCGAGGTTTTTTGTTTTCTGATAGAACTGTCGTTGCTGCTTGCGCGAATACCGTGCCTAAGCGACCTGCTCGTACTCGGCCTTATTGATGTTGCTAGCTAAGCCGCACGCTAGGAAGATGCCCACCAGTGGGAAGAAAGCTACGGCGATCGCGATGCCGGCCACTAAACCGATGCTGCTGTTTAAGCAATCCAATACGCGAATGTAGCATCCCTAAAAAACCGAAAAGAATTAAAAATGAGATTTAAGTAAAGATGAGTAGTAACTAGTTAATTAATTAAAAGTTAAAAAGGTATAAACTTATTTTAACTTATCGTTAGCTTATTTTAAACATAATTAATTTAAAATGAGTTAATTTTTAACTTAAACTTATTAACTTTTTTTCAAGGTTGAAAAAATAATATTTATATAAATAATAAACTAAAAGATCGCCAGTAAAAAATAATCAATAACTAAAAAAGATCGATCAAACTGGCATTAATTTATTACGGTGTTTAATACAAATGCGTTTCGACCGTCATTGCGGTCCTTCTTAAGTGTTGTTTGTGTTAATTTTTATAGATTTACTTGAGAAGGACCGCAATGACGGTCGAAACGTCGTATTTGTATTAAACATCGTAATAAATTAATGCTAGTTTGGTCGACCTTTTTTAGTTATTATTGAATAATATTTATATTAAATTAAAATATAACTTAACATTTTTTATCTGTTTTTTTAATTTATATAAAATAACAAATAACAAAAATTGCTTTTTATATAGAAAAATATATTTTTTGGTAATTACAATTATGAAAAAAATAAAAACTAGTAGTATATAAAACCTTTATTCATTATCATAATACTTATAAGAATGACATAGAATGATGCTATTATTAAAATTTAATACGTACATCGGTATAGATTTGGTCTACGCGATCATTCGGTTCACACTCATCGGACAGTTTGCAACAGGACGAGGGAATTTCCTTCGGTGGATTCAAGTTGCGCCAATCGGCGTATCCACGATTACCGCAGCAATGCAACTGCAATCAGTTAATTAAATTTTCAAGATATGGAATGCATGAAAGTTGTTTCGACGGTTTAAAAAATGTGTTTTTTCGAAGCCAAAAAAAGAGCGCTTATTCCTTACATATAAATTTTACACTAAATTCAAACTTCTAATTAGAGACTAATATACGCAATTACAGAAAAGAACAATACTATATACATAATTTTATTTCAAAAAATATGAAAAAGTTATTTATTCATTTTATAATAAAATTATTATTAATAATTTTAATTGTTATTAATCTTCACAATAAATTCCTTATAACAATAAATAAGAGCTTAAACAATTTTAAGCAAAATAAAAGCACATCAAATATATATAGTTATGTATATAGTTAATTAATACTCTTCTATAACTTTAATCTCGATTTTCAATATTGTGATAAAGAGCATTTTCGAGACCAAATAAAATATTAAGCATACCAAAAAAACTACAAGAAATAATCATTCTTTTGCTTTAGTTTCTTTTTGAAGTTTAATTGCTATTTAAAAATTTCAATAAAAATTCGAATAATCGAAATTCTATCATTAAAATTAATTATATCGAAGTAAATATAGAATACGATAGAGAAAGGCTTACAGTTGATTGCATAATATCGATATGACGGCCGATGGAATTATCTGGTTCATAGGCTGCCATGCTCTCGTTTAGGCCTTGGTCGAATCCTTCATTCAAGCTTTTACGACTAGCATAAAACGACGCACCCGCGCCAAGTTCCAGTAATGCAACGACAGCTAGGAACGCTCCATACTAATAAGGGATAGAAAAAAAAATTATTTTTCATATAAATAAAGTGAATCTTTAGTTCTATAGAAGAAAAAAGTTCTTATTTCGACATAATTTATTTTTTTATTTTATTTTGTAAATAATAATATTGTTTTTGCATAAATTTCTTTTATAATATATATATATATGTTCATATATTTTGTCAAAAGAATTTTTATATTAAAAAAATGTCTATTTAATTTTTATTTAAAAATACTCAATTTTAATATAAAATTTTAAATTATCATCGTTTTCTCTCTTTCTCTTTACAATAATTCAATGATATATATATTTTACAAATGATCGATGTATATATAGTGTTGAGAAGTCATAGACGATAAACTGATCAACTCCTATTTTTTATTAAAATTTCTCAATTGTAGCATCAGGGCATACTCTTTAATTATATGCATCAGTGAATTGTTATATATATTACTCATATAATGAGATAAGAGAAAGAGAGAATATCAGAGAGATATAATCATATCGAGTGTCAACTCATAACTTTATCCTACTGCTCCCAAAGGAGCATCTATATATCTATAATCTATATATATATATAATTATATAGATCGTCTGAGTGGATTCTATATATATATATATATATATATATATATATATATATATATATATATAAGAATCCACTTAGACGATCTATATAATTCGCGATATATTCTTATAAACATATCCTGATTCTTTTTCTTCGTAAAATAACAAGTTTCGCAAATTACAGATTGTGTCGTCTCTAGATTGTACTTTATGTGGTTTACCAGGTGTAGTAGGGCGGGATGACCTCGTACGGTGCAGCAACAGGCGAGGACCGACGCTACAGCTAACATCGCACCTAGGCACGCAATCGCTAACAAGGCCGCTCCGCTGACCTGCGAGTTCATGTTCATGTAATCCCCCAGCTGGATACGCATCCATATGCCGATGAACAGCATCAATATCCCGGACGCCTGTGACAAAATTAAAACGATCAGTTGAACTGTACATCTCTTCATTTTCATTCGCTTCTCTGATTTTTATAAATCTTTACTTAATCTTTTCACAAATTGTCCCTGAGCTTCTTTTGAACTTTAAAATTTTTCACATCTTCGATAAATATAGAAATTTTGTAATACATACATATAATAAATATAATACATATGATAAATAGAATAAATATAATAAATGTAATAAAAAGTTAAAGAAAAGTTCTTCAACATCTTCTCTATTGGAGTAAATATATTATTGCACAGTGTAACATATCAGGATAATATATATATATATATATATATATATATATATATATATATATATATATATATATATATAACGTGTTTTGTGAAAAATAACTTAGGAAAATGTCAATTTAGAGACTAAAATAGAGATAGTATTGTAAGAAAAAATGAATTATTCAATAATCGAGGCAAGATTTCTATCTTTATATACTGAAAAGAAGTTGTAGTGTTAGAAATGATAACAGAGTTAAATATATATACGCGGTTTCCAGATAAGCTATTTAATAAGCGTGCTTGAAATTTCTCAACTAATTTAAGGATTCAATAATATACATATATTATAGCATACAATAATTATATATTAGCCATCAAAACTTTTAATTAAATTAAATAAATATATATAATTCGGGAAAAGACATACTATAATTTTTTAAATAATATATATATATATGTATATATACATATATATATACATATAATTTTAAAAATGTAATATCAATATATATAACATGTATATAAATAAATATAAATATTATATAAAAATATGTATATAATAAAATATATAATTTATATATAATTTTATTATATAAAATTTATATATATATATATATATATATATAATTTTTAAATAAATATAATTTTTCTAAATATTTAAGATATTCCTAGATAGTCACAGTAATTATTATGACATTATTTTGATGTCAAAATGCATCATTTCCCATAAAAATGATGCATTTTAATGTCATAATAATTACTGTGGCTATCTGGGTTCAAGATCGAGTCAATCTTGTTCAAGGTCACAGACATCACTCATTCCACCTGACCCTATTTTTTTAATTAAAAAACTTAAGACAGGATCCCATCTCGTTACGTCATATTATTATTACAATGTCTCATTTCGCGACAATTGATCAGATTTAACCGGTATTACAAAACTTCAAAATTGCGATCAATTGCGCAACAGTTGGACCAGAGTGCGTGTGACAACAAGGGGTGCGTGGCAAGGTGATGTGATAAGATCACCGGAGGAGAGGGAGGAGGGCGGTCTCTTGGCTTACCCAGAGGGTGAAATTAAAAAGCATCAGCAGAGTCTTCATGCAGGTCATCATGGCCACGGTCTCTAATCGCTTGCTCATCCTGATGACGCTTTGTTCGCCTTATTTATTGCCCTTCTGTTGAACGAAACCCTCTCTTTATCCGAGTTATTACGCACTATCGCAATGTGGTCTCGCTCGGGGCGCGAGAGAGCGAAGCTCAAACACGATCGATTCGCGACAGGATTCGCGAGCACACTTACTTACGTGTTGCGTGCGTGGCTTCCGCCCCTCTCTTTTCAGCTGATGGTGCATGCGCGCAACCCCGTGAGAACATTATATATAGCGATATGATAGTTGGGAACTCCCTTTATCGGAGTAAATTCGACGATTCTCCGACGAGAGCATCGCGGACACACTTTTGTCAAAGGATATCCTCTTGTCTGATACAAATCGTCGTGAAAGCATTAATATCATCGTTTCTTCTTACAATTATAGACGTCACTTTTGCGTTGAAGAACTGACTGAATACTATGTTGATAATTCCCTTTATGGAATAACTTCAGATATTGTATAATCCAGTAAATATCCGATGAGGGACCAGTATCTGTAAAAGAGACCAAACCATTTTTTGAAACATTCTTTAGACTTTTTAAAGGATATAAAATTTTTTCAATACATTAATTTCTTTATCTAAATAACTCGATGCATCCGTATTTCACAGAATAACGCAAATATTAGAATAAATGAGAAAAAAACATATATGAAGTGTGGCAGACGTATTATTTTCTCATTCGCAATTTATTTTTAATATTTCTCATATAATTGAGATTTTGTTATTAGAAAAGATTACGCGAGAACGAGCGTACGTTATATCGTGAATATATAAATAAACTATAGTTTAAATGTCATAAACTACATTTAATTTCAAAATACTAAAAATGCACATTTTTTTCATAAAATTAAAATGTAATATTTAAGATATATCAAATATTTTAAAAATTTTTCATTGAAACATTACATACATTTGCTTTTAGTTCTATTATATATTTTTTGCATCCATTTTAATTACTTCTAATATGGATATTTTACAAAAATAAAAAATATATATCATATTTATGATAAAATTTGCTTATAAAATGTTTGTGAAAAATGAAATCTTTGCACAAAATAAAAAGAAAAGATATCTCTCTCTCTCTCTCTCTCTCTCTCTTATTTCTACTTATTGCAATTCAGATCTAATATTTATTATAAAATAATAATTATATATATATATATATATATATATATATATATATATATATATATATAATGTAACTATAATATAACATATATAAAAATGATAATTAATGTAATTTTTGAGAATCAGTTGAAACTTCTGCATACTCTGTAAATTTTCTTTCTCTTTTTTGTTTTCCTGCACTTTCTTTAATTATTCACATATTTTCATATGATTATTTAATCTTAATTAAATTGATATATTAATATATTTTAATATTTAATTAATTATTAAAATAAAAAGGTGAATAAAAGCGTGTATAAAATATTGGAAGAGATAATTGGAAAAAAAGAAACTTCAAAACGAGGGTGTAATTTCGATCGACGCAGAATTTTGTGCGCACGAAATCGCACGCTAATTGATGTAGAAAGAAAACACAAACATTTTTATTAATAAAATACACAAAATAATTAAATTGCCAAAATTATTTCATACAATTCGAGGATTCCTTGATCAAAATATTTATAAATTTTAGTACATAATAGCATATAGAATTAATAACGTATACATTTTTCAATGTTTTATTTTAATCTTGCAGAGATATACCGACATCAAAGTTGTTGTTGTAATTCAGAAAAACATTCGGCCGAACGATATTATTTTCATCGACAATTAACGATCTTCGCGTAGACGATTGTCTGGTTTTCCGAAAAGACGGAAAGTTTCTCATCGTCTCGCCATTTCTCGACTTATTCTCTCGATCACCCTTATTCCCTTCTTCCTCCGTCGGTCTATTATTGTTTTCCTGTTCATCTCTTCCATAATTATCTCGATCAACCGGAAGTCGTTCGTCTCTCGTTTGATTGCCCATCAAATTCAGATCCAGTTTCGACAGATCTACGATCGGCCAGGCGTTTTGCACCGCTCGAGTCTCTTGAGCAACGGCGTCCGAAACATCCGGATTGTTATTCTTTTCAGAGATCGGTTTGTCAGCAATCTGATCGACGAGCGAGCTGGCATCCCATTCTACTAACTCCTCGCTGCTAATAGACACTCTATCCTGATCTACATCCCTGATGATGTCTCTCTTGTCGCTCCTGATGTCACCGATAGTCTTGAAATAGATACTGTGGTCGTAGCTATAAGTTTCCAGACAATTGTTCTCCAGCTTGCTGTTCGATTGATAGTTGAACGTGCCGCAGCAATTAATCTTGGTCTCCTCAGGACGCGATTTCCATTTGGACCGCTTGAGTCTGTAGAATTGCGTGGCTTCGTCCGAAGAAGCTTCCCTGGACCACCTGATTCAGTTCAACATTCGTTTACATATCTCTCCTTCATATTTTATTTTACTTATATATATATATATATATATATATATATAATTTTACTTATATACATATAATTTTATTTATATACAATTTCACTTATATACAATTTTTCTTATGTATAATTTACTTTACCTTTATATTTTACTATATATGTATAATATTAGTTTTTACACTCTTTTTTTCTCACCTTTGAGATCGAAGACGATTGTAACCACGTACAAAGGTCGCCCATCTCTCGATCTTCTGGAGCACATATTCTGTTTCTTCGCTCCACCATTCGGACAGACCTTTCTGCCCCGTGGTCTCTTTATCTTCTGTCATTTTTAAATCGCAAATGAAGACGAGAAAGACTAGAGATCATTCGACAAGTTGTTGATTGATGGTCGAACGACGATTTCACGACTGACGATTCGACTCGCGGAGAATAAACCGATTTATTGGATTAATAAAGGAAGCACCGCTAAAACGCGGAAGCCATTGATGATCTCATGGCCCTGACCTCGTGGTTACACAGAAAGTGTCAAATTAACACTTATATATACTCGTATATATATGCAACAAAAATAAGTATCAAATCAAAACTTATATACTTGTATATATGCAAATATTTGCTTGAATAAAGACATTTTATATCAGTTCAACCAAGAAAAATATATATAATAATTCTATTTTATTTAAGAATAATTTTCTTGAATGAAAAAGACCAAATGTTGAACAGAAAATAATTTATTTTCATATTAATAACATTTTAATTATATTCTTCATATGACAATACATAATATTGAAATAAAAGACTGGTAATATATTTTTAAGATTTAGTAAATTGTTATAAGATTATAAAACACGATTATATGTATTGTTGCTTATATACGAGTAATATAAGTATTGATTTAATACTTCTTTTTTTCTGTGTTTTCATTATGTGCTAATTGTTACACGAAAACATAGACAATCGTGTTAATAAGATACACTTGACATATCGATGATAAAATATATATGGATTTAGAAATAAAAATTAAATAATTAGAGAACGCGACAATTAAAATAAAGTTAGCTGTAAATTAAAGAGGAGAGATAGGATTTTTTCTGTCCATTTAAAAAGTTATTTTGCTGAAAGCGTTTTATTTTTACCCACTTGCTCTCTTTTAAAATTTAATTGGTAATAAATCTGATTAAGGGAAAAAATTGACTCTACGATAATGCTTTTGATAAATAAAATTTCAGAGAAACAGAAATAAAGAAGTATTCCTTATTAGTTTTTTTCCAAGAAGTTCTATTTACGTAGGATTGGAATTTTTAGACTAACAATAAGATTAAGATAACGCATAAAAAGAATTAAATAATAAATTGTTTCCCTAATATTTTTTTGAATGAGAAAAAGAAAGATTCAAAAAATGGATTAAATGTCAATAAATTTAAAAGCTAATTATAAAGGCGAAACTCCTTCTGAAAGTCTCTCTCTCTTTCTCTCTCTGATAGATAATTACACGTCTTTTTAGTGAACTAAAACTTTTTAGTTGAACTGTTTATTCGGAACAATAATTAAAATTCTTCTATTAAAGTATCTGTAAAGTAAAACTCGTGTAAAGTATTTTATTTCACTAATTAGCACCAATTCCGCACAAAACACTACTCGTCAGTGTCTCGACTTTTTAATCGAACAATCGATAAAAATAACTAACTCGAAATTGACAGGCAGACAATTGTTCTCATTATTATTTATCAATTTGCGCTGCCTACACTCCTTTTGGAGTGCTGACAAAGAAAGAGAGATGTATATGTATGATATATACAGGGTGTTCCAGAATTAGCGGATCATCTGTTAATAGCAGATTCTTGGGATTATTTGGAGACGATTTTTTTCAGCGAAAATATGGAAGCACCACTAATTTTCGACTTACAAAGCGATTGAAAATAAAGAGTTTTTTTACAAATTAAGCCTCGTGAAAATAAAACATTAACAAAATCACATTCTTCAATTAATTTCAAGTAGTTTATTTTAAAAGAATTTTAATTTAAGGCTTACAATTAGTTACTACATCCCAGATAGCAAGCTATGTCATTTTGACGTTTAATGACGTCAGTTTGTTACTTGGGATGATGACAAAAATTGAGAACATGCAAAAAATGTCTTCCTCGACATTTTCGTTGAAGAAAAATCGTCACCAAATAATCTCAAAAATCCGCCATCATTAGCAAATAATCCGCTAACACTGGGACACCCTGTATAGATAGAAAAGAATGGATTTTAACGTCCGATTTTCTCCGGTAGAAAGGAAACAGAAAGCCGCAACTTGACATCGGTAATCGGTTTAGTCGGTGCCCTGCCAATCATTGGAGGCGCGGAACATCGCCGTGGAATATTGAATGGCGGAGGCGTGAGATGATTCTCGCTTCTGATGTGAGAGAGGAAAATTGTTTATCTCACAGTGCGCGCGACGTTGCGTGAATTAAAATTTAGCGCCGTCGTACTTTCTTCATCGCCATCGGGCGTCGCTTTTCCAACCACCAGGGGGGAAAGCAACGCAAACTTGGCTGCGATATAAAAAGCCGCCGCCGCGCGCATCCTGCATTCCATCGCCGATTTTCCCGACGTCCGGTTCCCGACGCAGGTAAGGGAACATAAGAGTGTTCCTCCTTGATTGATCGGCGCTCTTGACTCGAATTCGAGAAGATCCCGTCGCGCGCGATTTTAGGTTTCTCGAACGAGTCTTGTTATCAATATTATAATGTGCATTTTATTTTTTTAAATTAAGCACCTTGTAAATTTGTTATCTGTCGCTCACCTGTTGCCTCATTACGGTGTCTCCTTATTTAATTTCGTTTCATCGTAATAAAACGTTCGTTGTGTGTATTCAGTGTTCCGAAACCATCGAATTGCATACACAGCTTCTTCCATTCAATTGAAAATCTTTTCCCGCGGTGAATTTTTTTCAAATTGCATTCTTTCTTAAGTGGCGAAACGTCTGGACTTAAAGGTTCCTCGAACAATTCTCCTGAAAAAGAAAGAAAAAAATGTTGTCAGTAAAATATTTGATATTAAAGCTTAAGAATTATTTTCTCTCGATGTAATTATATTTGTATCTGAGTACAAATTATCTTTAATTGTGCAAGTATCTATACTTCTATATATTTCTAGATATTTTAATATTCTTCTACATAGATGTGTGTATAGAATTTTTGTAACAAAGGTAAAATGCATTTGCAAAATTTTGCTGCGTGCTTTTGAACTATAATTCAATTACTCGAGCATACTAATTAAAAGCAATTGATTATAGAAAATAAAAAACAATAGCTCGATTTGTAAATTTGATTACATTCATTATTTTGTTTCAAAAAAAATATATAATTATATATATTATATTATATAAAATATAAAAAATATATATTATATCATATAATATATATTATATAAAATAATATATATTAACATTATACATAGTTGTAATAATATATATTATAGATAAAGTTTATATATGTTTGTAACAAAAATTGTTAAATGATTACAGACTCTACAGATGAATCTGACTCTTGCTCTATCCTGCATGCTCGCAGTCATATGGCTGCTCTGCGGAAGATGTAGAGCAGCTCCGAGAATGATGCCGGGCATCCATCGTAATTTAGGAAATCATCCACATATCTACGGGTAATTACTACACAATAAAATAAATAACAATAAATATAAGTAAATTGGAGAAAAACAAATAAAATACTCTCATCGTGTAAGACTTAAAATTGATATTCAACTATTTTGTGCGCGTTTTGCCACAGATACGCCGTGGAAGGTCTCGTGAAGGACCTGGTGGAGGACCTCGTCGGTGAGGACGAGGATAGTCTACGACTCAGCAAACGTCAACAGCTGGACGATTACGGTCACATGAGATTTGGCAAGCGGTCCAACGGCAATGACGAAGAGTACGGACATTCGCGATTCGGCAGAAACATCGAATAACAAACGCTACTATTAACGCGCCGGATTCTCTCATTTAGATCGTAGATCGTGCACATACTCCCGTGTGCCAAGATGTAGATAGAATATATTTTACATTGCAGCTATTACGATCGTGCCTCGTTATTTTACCTTCTGTCTTCAGTTTTTTTGTGCTCGATACTTTACGCCGTAAATCAATCTACTATTTTTGGTGTCTGCAATCTAATTTGTGATTGTGTATTATTTTATATAGATATAATTTTTTGCAATCGTGTCGCGCTAATAATCCCTTAGAGAAGACTTTATAATCGATAATGCTTCAATTTTTTATCAAGATGAGTCAATTTCGCGTTAACAATCTGCGAAAAAATTATATAAGGATCATTAAAAAATTAATTAGGAATCGTTCGACTCTATCTTCCTTCGTTGCGTTACTAAATATATTAGAATTAACAATAAGATACGATGACGGGTAAAAATAAAAATCAACTTTCGACTCGCCAAAAAATTGTCAATTCTTAAACATCTTATTTTTCTGAATAATAAAGAAAAAAATCATTTTGTTCATTTGTGGCACATTATTACGTATTCCCAGAGTTCATAAAAAAATTCTAACTTATATCTATTCAAACACGTTAGATAATTTTCTTTAACTAATAATACTTTTTCATTTAAAGATTATATATAATATTATATATTATATATTGCTTGCGGTGTAAATCGATTTGACAAAACGATAAGCAAAAGTCAAATATATATTTACGTAATGTGTGTTTAATTTATCAGTCGTCAGTGGAATTTTGCCATCGTTTATCATTTATTCGAATCTCGTGCAATTTGCCCCTTCTCATTTTCAACTCTGCTATTCTCTGATGAAGATCCATGTCGTCGTCCAGAAACATGTGGTACCCGCAACGATTCTCCAGATCTTGAGGACTGTAGCCGATGGTGCGTCGATTTAACAGCCACGGTTCCGGTGGCGGTGGCGACGGTGGTGGTTTCGGTTTTGGAGGATAAGGCGAGCGATAATCTCTGCTTGTACTGGTGCGATAGTCCAGCTGACAAATCGCCATCGGATCCAGCAAAATGTCAGTTAATTTTAATTCCTTTTCCTCGTAATCCTTTCTAGAAAACGTTACATCACGCTCTACCATCGTTTTATTTATTAATATAAACTGCAGCTCGTGATTTTTGTGTGAATATATCATTTTATAAAATGTTTAAGACACACATGTGATAAAATCTTCATATAAATATATGACAAATGAAGAAATAAATTTTTACTGAAATATTGAATTATTATACATATATTAATAATATTAAAGAAGAAAGGTCGATGTCCGAGAAAAAGCTTCTTTATCTTTTTGTTAGAAATATAACAGCAATGAAACACACATCTTATATTTTCATTATTTTTCCTAATTATAATTCCGGATAAATTATTTTTATAAATTCCGAGAGTCCTTTCTCTCAATTCGCCTGATATATTTTTAAAGTAAAAATATAGAATACGTACTCTGCACAAGCCAACGATTGCATGGTGAGTAAACTTCGTCGTGGATAAGTAATCGGTTTGTACTCGTCTTTCATCTCAATTTGCGACAACATGGCGCGTGTCTCCGAAATCCCGGTGCCCTCGTCCTCCGGACCGAGTCTTCGATATGAGGATTTGTGCAGATTTCCCTTCGGTGGAAATATATCCGTATTGTCTCTAGGCTCGGACAAAGTCTTCACCTGCCTATTAATCAATAAGCGAAGTAAATATTTTTAAATTTTAGTATGTTAAATTTTATATAAAAATATATTATATATATTATTTATTTTAAATTTAAATATAAACTTATATAGGCTATAATATAAATATAAATATAAAATTAATATAAATTAAAATTTATATGTATTATAATAAATTTTTATTTATTAACATTTTAGATTTGAAAATATAATTCAAATAATATATACTATGATCTGCAATTTTTTAATGCAACGCTTCATTTTGAATATATTATTAGATTAAGTAATAAAAAACTCACTCCTTCATTTCTTTTGATAATAATAAAGATTTATTCTGATGCAGAGCCATTTTTCAGGCAACACTATAACTGTTATAAGTTGAAATTTTACTGAACGAATTGCTAGCACTGTGTATCAAATAATGATATGCAATACAAACGTGGGTGGTTTCTTGTCAGATGCGTGAAATAAAGCGCGTTGCTATGAATAACAATCGTACAGTTTCGTCTGTGTTGTAACTACTCCCCCTTATTTCCATTAAAATGCATGTGAGATACATTTGTGTATAGGATTTCCGTCGCGATTTGTTCATATGCAAGCGATATATGCAGATATCTTTATAAGTTAATTTATAATAGAAGAGATTCGGATAAAAAAAGAAACTTGTCTAAAAAAATTTATTTGCAAAAGAATAAGGCGAAAGTGTATTAAGAAAAATTATATTATAAAAATTTCTACACAATTAATATACCTTTAAAATATTTAAAAAAAATAGAAAAGTTTCCTATAAAGTGCAGGGTTAAATAATTCTAGATGCTCTATTTTCCATATTATTAATTTTTAATTATTTGAGTTGCATATTTCCTTTTAATATAAATTTTAAAGATATTGCAATATTTACCAATCATGTATCTTGACTTTATCGCTGTATATAGCAGGGACACGGAAAACGATAGGTTCATCGATGGAATCCTCATCTTCGACATTGCAAAATGACATAAACTGCAATATAAAAAATTATTAGTAAAATACTTAAAAAAAATAGTGGAATTAGCAGAATATTTCATAAGACAATGCAATAGTTTATAAATTAGTAAATATGTTATTCCTTTTATTTTTGCACATTAAAAATTTTGCAATACTATATAACAACGTTATAAATATATATAAATATGTAAATACATAAAATGCATAAGTATATAAATATATTTATTTAAAATATATGAAAGAATTATTGTAATATAATTAAATAGAGGTAAACATTAAAATTTCATAATTAAAATTTTGAAATATTTTGAAAGATAAAAATATTTCGAAAATGTGTTTGGAAATTGTCAATACAATCTTACAGTTATCTTCCTTTTCAGCATTTTATATCGTGTATCTATATAAAGTTTTTTTTAAATCAAATATAAAGAGATTATTAATCATTAAATAACTTTAAATATCTAAATATATTAAATGTTTTACAAAGACATAAGAATAAGAACTTATAACAACTCTTTCTATTATATCATTTTTCTGTCATGTGAACATAGCGTTATATGTCATCTACAATTTGTACAAATATCTTTCATGTCTTTCTCTTTTATTTCGTAATTTTTCAATGCATAGAAGTAATAAGAATAAATTCACATTGTTACTACGTAAATAGAAATTATCATATATACATATTATATAATATATGTATAATAAATATTAGATATTATTACACATTAATTGAACAATACCATGGAATATAAGATAAAAGAATTAGATATGAAAGCGCTGCAAGAAGAAATTTTACGTAAATGTAGAAAGAAAGCGGAATTTTTAGCTCCTCGTGATGATGAAACGAAAAATGAGGAACATGAAGTGAAAGATTTACACGAGAAGGAAGATGCACTCTCGATGGAAACTGATAAAATTACGGAAGAGGATTTACCCTTCGAGGATGTATTAGCTGAGAAACGTCGCAAATGTACAGCTAAAGAAGAATTTATTTATTCAATGTACAATGATATACTTCCATTTCTCGTCGTTGAGTAATTATCCTATATTTTGTTGCAAAAAATACGAAATTATTATTTATCATATATTGATTATTCAATTAAATTCAATAATATATTATATAAATATATATATATATATATATATATAGATGGGATGGATATTTCTTACGAAAAAAATCTTTCGCAAAAAAATCGAACAAGGATGATGCTGAAGCTATTGAGGAAAGAGAAGAGATAGATGACAAAGGCGATGATTTATTTATAAAGGAAGATGAGGAAAAAAAAGATGAACTATCCATCCCCTCCTGGAAACTTTCATTACCAGATGAATTTGCTGAAATAAAATTCTACAACAAAAATTCTTATTGTGGTCGCATCAGCCAGAAGATGATGGAAGGTGAAGGGACATACAGATGGCACAATGGTGTCTATTATAAAGTATTGAGAATATGTATAATTATTTTAGTCCATAAACATTCACAATGCAAATACAATATTTCAAAAATTATATAAATTAGTAAATATGAGTTTAATATATTTTGAAATTTGTTTTTTTTACTTGAATCGATTCTCACAGGCAGCACCAAGTCTAAAATTGACGCATAAGATATAATTAAGAAATCTAATACAGCTTTAAGAAGTCTTGTGATATGATATATGATATATATATATATATATATATATATATATATATATATATATATATATATATATCTCAAAAAGACATCTTAAAGATATCTTATGTACCAATTTTGGACTTGGTGTTGTCTGAGCTATGTTTTAAAATTGAGTTATTGACATATTTTTTATACTAAAATATAATAATTATTATTTATTATTATTTATATATATATTATTATATGTATATTATATATATTTTTATTGATGTAAAAAATTAACTTATTAAGAAATTAATTTAAGGAATAAATGAGAAAAATTATGCAGGGCCAATTTGAGCGGAATAAGATGCAAGGAAGAGGTTTCCTAGAATGGAATAACAATTGTTGGCACGAGGGTGAATTTATGGATGGTTTTCGACATGGTAAAGGTCTGATAATAGATAGAGAAAAAAGTCGTATGCACATTGGCCAATGGCACATGGGTCACAGAAAGAAAATAATAAAATAATGTACAATAATTAATAATTAAGTGATAAATACCTATTGCGTATATGCATCAGAAGTACTCTCTCATCCTACAATATATATATTATTCGTTCGTCATTGAATTAATTGCTCTACAGTTTTGCATTGAATGATCGATGGCTGCTGCTTTCACTTCCGGTACATTTCCGGATCTGATCACATCTGAACATCGGGACATCGCATCTGAATCATAAAAATAATGTTACTTCAATTATTTATATTAATTATTATTATCAATTATTATTGTTATTCATTAATTATTTATTCTTATATATTTTAATTTTTTTATAAATTAACTTTTCGTTAGAAAATTGCTGATTCATCGTCTGTAAACTCAATTATAGATATCCGAATTTAAGGCACAAAATGGATCCTTTCCGAAAATATCTCCGGCCTCCGGAAGTCTAATATATATGTACATATACGCACATATATATATTATTGACACTTGCTGCGTAAATGAATGATATATAGCGATCCATACATTTCCATATATATAAAGACGATTAATATATCGTGTCTTAAATGTGTATTATAAGTATATACATATATAAAGCAGATTATGAACTATTATTATGACTATCGTTTCCCATATAACAAGCTTCAAATTTGAAGCGGAATCTTGTACGTCTCACGAAGATAGTGAACAGAAACTTTTCAGGAACTACATCTCATATCTCAGTATATATAAATTTAAAGAGATTTTCTCGAATTACTTATATACGTAATAGATTACTACGCATATTCTTAAAATTACTCAAATAATCTCAAAATTACCTTCTCTAATCCGAAGCAGATTTGTCCCACCGTAAACGTAAACCGCTGATTTTCCGTTAGCACTTCTCCTCCGCGCGATCACGTGATCGCGTGACGTAGATAAAGGCCGTGTCACGTCTGCCGCATCGGCCAGTCGCGCCGATTGGCTGCCGGCTAGGGGATTTCTAGGGTTTCGCCGCGGCGGCCAATCGGCGCGCTCGACGGACGTCGCCTAGCAACGACGCTCCCCCATTCGTCCGCGGCTCGACGCTGATTGGCCGGCCAGCGATCGCCGGATCCGCCAATCGGCTCGCACTCGCGGTCGGCTGCGCTAGCAGAAGGATTTCAATATTGACGTGCATTTATTTGACGCTCTCTCGCGACTGGCGTTTATTCGGTGACGGAGAATCGCGCTTCCCGAGAGAGAGAGACGCTCATTTCGGCGACGTCCCAGCCGACGAGGAACACGATGTCGGACGCGATGGACGAACGGTAATTATATTCGTCGGAGGCGGTCGTCGACGTGAAAAGATCCCTCCCGGTTGCGTCGCGGTTGACTACGGAATTCTCGCGACGCTGCTCCGCGAATTCAGAAGCCGCCTCTCTTCCTCTCTCGGTCTTTTTTTAGAAGAAAAATTCTTTTCCGAGACGGCTTTTATATTGCTTCTTTTTTTTCTCTCCTCCCAGGTCCATGTATCAGTCTGGAACATATGTTTGTACAAACTCGTTGTTGGTATATAATTATTCTGTTTTTTGCCATCTTTTCTTATTATAATTATTTTTTTGCTCAATATATATATTTACATAATGTTGCAACGCAAATATTTTAGTATTGCATATACTGAGAAGTAGGGGACAAATGTACTATTGTCAGATAATTTTTTTTATTTGGTTAATATAAATAATATGATGTAGATAAATAAATATATGTATACACTTTTATAAATCTGTAAAGTTGTAGGACACTCTTTAACTCCTGTATAATTTTCTCTGACAACAGACCTGATCAGCTGATTCGATCAGTTTCAATTTTAAGACTGTACTTATCGAAGTAATAATTATTTTAATAAAAAACCACTCCTCAACGTTTAAAGTCGACCAGACTGGCGATAATTATTTTAATGTTTATGCTTTTTACAGAGTTACTGATGAGATTGAAGCATTGAAAGCAATTCTACTGGACAATGAGCTCAACATTAAGGAAAATGATAGGTAAATGTATTTTGAACATTTTTACATTTTTTTAATAATTATGTGTAAAATAAAATATATTAAAATAAATTTCAATGATTATTGCACATATTACAGACTTTATAATGTCATATCTGGACAAAATTCCATCAATGAATAACTTTGAATTATTTTGTTTCTCAAAAATAAGTTATTTTAGACAGATTATATTTATAAATTATCTTAAATTAATTTTTTTTCTTAAAAATATATTATTTATACTATTCTATATTATTTCTATAAATTTTTATGTATATATAGGTTTTAATATTTTAATCTCTTCCATAATTTTCCATATTTCCATATATAATTGTTTGCTATATATGTCCAAACTGTTTAAAATGACATAATGTCTCTAGTTAAATAATTTAGAATATTAATTAACTCTTCTGACTGTTTTTAATAGTAATTCATGTCTTTACAGAGGAGAACCAGAGTGTATCGAGACGATATTGTTCCCATCAACTGGTGAGGATTCACAATCGCAATATGTTTGCGTTACTTTGATCGTACGATTACCCTCGGGCTATCCGGATGTTTCGCCGGCTATCAATCTGAGAAATCCAAGAGGACTGGATGAGGATACGGTGAAGCTAATGCAATCTGACGCAGAGGCCAAGTGCAAAGACTTCATAGGTCAGCCAGTCATGTTCGAGTTGATTGAGGTAAGGAATTATCCTATCAATTCCTTTTTTTTCTTTTTAATCATTTATTTTTTATCACAACTTTGCTTTGCAAAAAATAATGATAACAGGCCTATCCTACTTTAAGTATCTGGATGTTCTTCAAAATTGTTTGTCTACTTGGATTTGTATACATGAATAATAAAATTTGTAGAAAGTTGTGGAAAATATTATTTTTTTTTGTTTTTAATTGTTTTTTTAAGTATTTATAGAATGTAACATCTTGAAAAAAGTAAAAACACAAAAAGAAGACATATTTCTTTTATCAATATCTTTGAAAAAAAAGAAGTGAGAAAATTTATGTATAAAAATTTCTATGAAATTTCTCTTCTTTTATAAGAAATTTATATTTATTACAAATTTTAATTTTTTTAATATAATTAGTTATAACAAATAATAATAATATACGGTTTCTATCATAAATAACAAGACAGAAAGATATTTGCTACGAGAACTTATTGTGTATGTACCTGCACGTAATTTCCTTAGCAATTTGCTAAGACAAATTCGAGATTGTTCCTCAATTTGTGAAATATCTTTCTGTCTTGATAATTAGTTATGTTTATTTTATGTTCTCATAATTTGAATGTATTGAAATATTAATAATTATTCTTTTTCACATACACATATATCTGAATGTTACATGGATAAAAATTATTGTTTAAAAAAAATGTAGAAAAACCAATTTCTTTAGATTTTCATAATTCTTCAATTATAAAAAAGATATACGAAATTATATTCTTATGTATTCTAAAGATACATACAATAATTAATTATAAATAAATTAATACTAAAATTAATAACAAGCAAGTAATAATGAATAAAATAAAAAGAATAATTAATTATTAATTAGAAATAATTATATATATAATATTAATACACATGTATAATAATAATAATTCAGTTAATACGAGAACACTTGACGAGGAGCAATCTTCCCACCGATCAGTGCGCAGTCTGCTTATATGGTTTCCGAGAAGGAGATGAATTTACGAAAACGGAATGCTACCATTACTTTCATTCGCACTGTCTGGCAGCGCACGTCGCTGCCGCAGAGAGATATTACAGGGAGGAGCAGGAGAAGTTACCACAGTGGCAGCAGGATACCACGAACAAGTTTCAAGTACGTCTGTGTCATGTAAATGAAACCTGTTACTAAGAAAGAATTTCATTTTATCCCGTCAATCTCGTGATTGCAAAATAGTTCTCTCTCTCGCAATTTATACCTGTATTAATATTTATTTATACCTCTGTTATTCTTCAGGCTATATGCCCAGTTTGCCGAGAATCGATCAACTGCGACGTCGAGAGTTTATGGTCAGCCCCGCCGCCGATCGACGTCGAAGCCGCCACCGACTTTTCTGTCACCGCCGAGCTAAAGGAACTTCAGAAACAGATGGCTGCTCTGTACCTGCGGCAGCAGCAACGGGGTGGTATAATCGATCTGGAGGCCGAGGGCGTCAAGATGCTGGTAAGGACGGAGGACGATCCAGCCGCCGCAACGGAAGAAGTTAGCCCGCCTGGCACCAGCTTGAACGCGTATTCGAATACCAACACTGTGCAATCGGTTACTCAGGTGGTGAGTAGTCAATCACGCTGCGATGATGGAGACAATGAAAAAAATAAAAAATTATTCACCATATTAATTCACTGTTGAGGAAAAGGAACAAAAAGGAACATAAAAATACACAGTTTGGTGTAATTTTTGCATATGCAACTATTCTCTTAGTTTAAATACAACATAATAAAGTTTTCGATAAGAGAAATCTGCAAAATTATTGTTCAAAAAAAGTAGAAAAGTTATTAACAGGATGTATACCCTGGGAAAAAAGCTTGAAAACCTGGTATTCTTAGGGAATTTTGTTTTAATTTGACAAATCAGAGAATTCTCATGGAATTGAGTGATTGAGAGAATTATTTTCAAAAATTGCTCTTTTGATAATTCTACTCTTATTTAGTGCTAAAGAAACAGATGTCTAACATATCTTTGCAATATTTAAATTTTTATTAAAATTTTATGTGATTTTTTTATTGACGATCTATTTCAGTATCAAGATGTTATGTTTCATAAAAAAATTGTTCAATTTTTTAATAGGTAATATTTAAATAATTAGTACTTTTTATTTATTTCTCTCTCTCTCTCTCTAAAATAAATGATAATTTAATATAAATAATTAATTTAAATAAATTAATATTCCTTAAGACGTTTATAATAAATTATTTTCTGTTTTTATTTTAGATTATATTTTTAGCGTTTAGATATAATGATATATCGTACTTTGTTATTGTCTAAATTAATTTTACAATTAATAAATTAATGTTAAATGCTAGAAAAACTGCACTCTACATAACTTTCCAATGTTACAAAATTTGTGTAGATACCCTAATTAATTTCTTTAGTCCTTTAGATTTTTTATAATGCTTCAATTATATAAAGGATGAAATTACAGTCTTGTATATTATAAAGATACAATAATGAATTATAAATACATTAGTCCTTAATAATAAATAATAAGTAATGATAAATTAAATTATAAATAAATTTATATATTAGTAATATTAAAGTACTAAAGTATATATTAGTTTTGTTTAAAACTATATAAATTTGGAAGCGTTTTAAATATAGAAACGTAGTAGTGTTATTTTCTAAAGCAACTGAAGTAGAAGAAATAGTATAATAAAACTTCGCTAATTTGAGAGAAGAGAATTAAAAATTATCAATAATATTTTTTCTCTAATAAAACATTTTTCGTTTTTTCTTTTTTCATTACTTTTTCTGTCATCTAGTTTTATCATCTTTTAATGTTCCATTTTTAACTTCTATTGATCTTCGTAGCACTCGAAGCAGTCGACGCACCAGCAGGCCCAAAATAATCACAACTCTCAGTACCAGCCCCGCCAGATGCAGCATAATCACAACGCTAATCACGGCCACAACAATCACAATCACGGCCACAACAATCATAATCACGGCCACCGGCACCGGGGTCGCGGTCGGGCCCACTACCGGCGTCACTTTGACAGAGTTAGACAGACGGAATCTACTCCCAGATGACAATGGGCTGGTGTCAAGGTCGCCGCTGATCGAGTCTGGTCTGATCCCCTCTTCGATCTTTCGCTAAGTCTATACAATATTCTGATTAGTAGCATTAGTAGCATAATACGCGTCAGTGTAATATACGGCGGTTGTCTACCCTTGAGTAGTCTCACCGCGATGATAAACTTATAGGTGTTGTTGTTCGACGACAGCATCCCCATCGTTGTCGGGGGATGCGTCGCGACCCTCCGTCTGGACTGTCTACGTAGATCGAAGCCGTGGTGCTCTTTCTTCCGCGAACGATCCGCGATCGTACAAAGTAGTTGATATCGTTTCGCCTTAGTTCCTCTTACTTCTTCTCTTTCTTTGTTCTTTAGTTCACGCGGGATCTCGTGACATTCGAGAGTCTATCGAGTTTATTCTCGTCTTCTTTAAAACAATGTTAACTGAGGGATGTTTGGAATATTAAACAGAATTGCTGCAGGATGTTTATTACATTTTATTTGTACTATTTTTGTTTTATTATTGTTATGTGTTTAAACACTTCCTAATACAGAGAAATATTTTATAATTCAAAACGCGTGCTTTTTATATACTCGATCACGAATTTTTAGACATCCTGTATATGTGAAAAGGAACACTTGCATATATACCTTGATGAGTAAAACTATTGTATTCTACTATAATTGTATCGGATCACGAGTTTCTAAAGAAATACAGGGTAGATTCTTGAAGCAATTTAACTTGTCAAGGGAATAGAAATGGAAATGGATGTTAAAGCAACATTGCAAGCATACCTTTGCAAGACGAGAAGAACCGATGGTTTAAATGTCATACGCTAACTTAATTATATTCACTGCCGCGAGTACGAGAAGATTATTCAATTTCATTCGCGATGATTATCTTTTTTTGATTTTGTCGTCTTTCCGATTATACCTGCAAACGAAGATTCAAAGCCGGATAATTACATATAACGTTACATTTATTAGGAAAATACACTTATTAGAGAGGTGCTTACTTTTATACAGGATATATTTTAACACGATATATTTTAAGTATGGATTCTCTTTTGTTTAATGACTTAATTTTTCTTGATAAAAGTTGACAGAAAAATGATTTATTTATATTTTGAAGCGAAGACAGAAGCTCGAGGTAATAATTATCGAAATATTGATGAGTAGATAAAATATGTGTTTCTGCAAATTAACTTTAGAAACTTACAACAACAAATTTTCTTATGCTCTCTCTTTTCAATATTGAAACATTTAATTAAACAATTAAAACATTTTCAAATTTGTCAAACAATCTGCACGTAAAATATTGATTGTTTAATTTAAGACGATCTCTGTATAAATGTCAGTTTCTATCTAACTTCTTCCCATTTTTTAAATTTAAATGAATCCAACCAGACGACAATTTTGAAAAAACATAATAATGCGAGAAATAATATTTAATGCGACAGTGTGTTACGAAAAAATTAAGCAATCAAAAAATTGCACGGAAACAAAGATATTTTATACATTAATATGAATCTAACATAATCAAAATTAACGGATACCATTTATTACGCTTAATGTATGATATATTGTAAATTGTAAATTGGTATAACTTCGGTGAGTCTGCATTTAAAAATGTAGAACTCGGCGAAATTGTATCAATTTAAAATTTTCCTGTTTGACAGATGCAATTACAATCGTTGAAAGTGTATATAGAGTGTTCTAAAAGTCGCATTATTATAGCAGTGTTTGTCTTTTATAGATTTAGAAAGATTAACTTTTTCTGCAAGTTGTGCAACTGAGGTCTCTTATCGAAATGATTTAAGTTCGAATATTTTTTCCTTGTTTATTGGTATTTGAAATATATTAAACAGGCTGTATACTCCCCGGGAAAACCTTGAAAACCTGATTTCTCAGGGAATTTTGTTCTACCTTGAACAATTAGAGAACTTTCTCATAGAATTTAATTCACGGAATTAAAAAAAAATTGCTTCTTTGATAATCTTATTCTTATTTAGCATACCGCTCAAGAAATATATATTTAATATATCTTTGTAATATATTCAAATTTTTATTAAAATTTTATGTAATTTTTTTTATTGTCAATCTATTTTTAGTATTAAGATTTTATAGAAGTTTCATGAAAATTGTTCAATTTTTTAATAGGTCATCTTTAAATAAATTAATATTCCTTAAGACGTTTATAATAAATAATTTTGGTTTTTCTTTTTATTTTATATCATATTTTTGTATATATTTTTAGCGTTTAGATATGATAATATATCGTACTTTATTATTGTCCAAATAATAGTTATTATCCAAATTAATATTATAATTAATAAATCAATATTAAATGTTAGGAAAACTGCACTCTTGATATAACTGCAATCGTATCTATCGAAAACATTAGAAAACGTATACAATAAAGAATTTATATTAAAAATCTGCATTTACAAATTTTCTTAATTTACTTGGAAATTGTTAAAATCAGAAAATTTTCAAGGAAATATTTTTACAAAATTTGAGTAGACATCCAGATCAAATCCACAATTGATATACCTGTTAACGCCAATTAATGTTCTTCCAATGCTTTTATTAATCATGTTCTTTATTAAAAATACTAATAATTTTGAATGCGAACAATTATACTACAATAACGATAATAATAATTATAATTCCTTTAGTTTATCTTGTATTCTTGTTCTTCTTATTGAGAATTTATTACGAAGATCATATTATTTTTGCTATGTAATCACATTATTATATCAATATTGATTTTTGTACTAGTCACAATCAATTGAATGCAGTAATATTACTTGTATATGAAAATTTTTAAGAAAAAGTGGCAATTTTGAGCGACACTTGCGATTTTTAGAACATCCTATATACAATATGAATAGTGCCATTTAATGCTCACTTTCCGCTCACGAAGAAAGTATATGGCATATCTAAAAATCTCGTCGGATTACACGTTTTGCAAATTTAGATATGCTTTTAAAGGAAAACTTTTTTAGAGAAGATCCTCTTCATCTCGACGCTCGCACTTTGAATTTCCGATCGAAGTGTCTGTGCGATCGACAAGCGTAGACAATTGTGATAAAAAAAGAAAAAAAAAGAATGAAGCGTACTCATGCCGGATTCAAACAAAGTAAAACAAGCATCTCGTATTATTATATACACAGCTAAGAACTAATTCTGTTACTTTAAGTTATATTCCTCTTTCGTAAAGTTCCTCTTTCCGTAAAGTGCATTATTCGCACCTCATGTAGTACGATTTACATATTTTCGCGTAAACACGAGTTTATAATTTTAAGGAGACGTAGGCATCGTCTATTGTAGATACTTCCCACATATATATATACATACATACATCCATACATATATTAAAAAATATATATATCATATATATATATATATATATATATATATAAGTATATATATACATATATAATATAATATATAATATATATTAAATATAAATATATATATATATTATATATTATATATATATATATATATATATATATATATAATATATTATATAATATTGGGAAAAATTGTTAGTAACCTTTCGTGTATAAAATTTTCCACATGAATGTGATACTTACAAAAGGGTAATAGGCTAAATGTAGGGAAAATTTAGACGCATGAGAATTCGAATAATTTCGCTTTTGGATTACAACGTAAAAATTTTCCCATTCTCAAATTAATTACTCGATTCGTTTAACATAACTTAATCCAGCTATTCCGCGCACCAGTTTCATTCTTTACAATTAACTTTTTCATCGAATTTTTGCTAAAGAAAAGAAATCTATATGAAATAATTTGTAGCTAAATCTAGCACACATTTCGAAATACAGACGGTGTTTACAAAGATAAATGGCCAAATTTTAAGAGTGTATTCTACTTATTTAAGAATAAAAATAAGCAAACGCAAAATTCCGGAGAAACATTTTTTTGAGTTATAATTACTTTTTGTTCACGACAGAATTCTTTAATAATAATTACATCTACAAATTCATATTTATAAGATCTTTTTCATTTATATTGACAATAACTAGAATACGCTGTTAAAGTTTAATCATTTATCTTTATAAGAAACATCCTGTATAAAAAATATGAGACATACTTGTATTAAATATTACACGATATTTGCATACATAATTAGTAAAGTGTATAATTTATGAGGCGCTTTTGTAATGATTAAAATTAAAAAAAGAAAAAAAAATTAAAGCGTTTAAAAAAATTCGTGATATTATATACGAATTGCTTTAAAAAAAATTTTAGAAATGTTATTACATTATAAAAAAAATAACAAATTATAGCATCTCTTTTATTCTGTAAATAAGAAAAGGAGAGAAAAAGAGAGAGAAAGAGAATTATGATTATATAGACAAATAATTGGCTCTCAAATCTTATTTTAATAATAATACTATTAGCATTAAAAAGATAATGAAAACTTGTATTATTTCAGAAATTATGTTAATATTTTTTTATTGGTTGTTTTACACATATTGATATGACACATAATTAATCAGAATAAATATTTTTTTTTAAATGTTATAAATACATTTCTTAAATCGTTTTTTAAGTTTTTTATTTGTATATAACTTTCAAAATGTCTTTATTCGAGATGTATCTTATAAATTAATATCGCTACAAAGATGATAAAACTGTAAAACGTGTAACAAATAATTAATGATTTATTTCTAAAGTCTATTATTATATTATAAATGTATAGTGTACCTGTATAATTTTGTTAATATTTCTTTCCAACTATGTGCGCGTGATTCTTATCGTTTAAGTGTCTCAATATTTGAATGTTTATTTGAAGACGCGATATGCTTTATTTTAAAATTGATATCCTTGCGGAAAGTATAATAAATATAAATAAAAATCGATTTTTTAACCGATTTAGAATTTTCAAGATTTTTATACACTATGAATATATATTGTGGAAAGGCCGCACTGTTTCTCTAGATGCCAGATAATTAATTAAGTTACTCCTGCGATCTATATCTCTATTTGTAAGTACCAAAGAATGTTGGACTATTAAAAAGAAAAAAAAGAAAAAAGAGATAAAAAAGAAAAAAACACATAGAACACAGGGATTGACTTTATATATAGGGAGTACCTATTTACTCCTCTCTTTTACGTTTTTACGCATATCTGTGATATTTTAAGAGAGCGATGATTTTTATTTAGTTTTTTATTATGTCAATTTTTTATGTATATATATATAAATACATATATTTATATATAACAACATTCGAAAGCTTCTGTACAATGCGATGCGTTATATTTCATAATTCCTTTGATTAAAAAAAAGAAGAAAAAGATGTATAACATACATGCAATTAAATTCTCATTTGAAAATCTTTTGTTTATTTTTGTCATACATCTACCATTATCCGGAACACGGAGAATTTAATGTACGATGCTAAAAACTGCTTTCTATTATAGGCTCTCTCCTGTATTTATTACGCGTCGATGCTTTTATAAACTTTAGCTTGATATTTCTAGACATGTTTAGCGTGAAATATCTTATACTGATCATCTTATGAATATAATATAGCTGTTCATATGACTTATTCGGATCTTTTCACTTGTATTTTGATGTTTTATCAAGATTTTGTATTTCGAATTTGTAATTTTTCATAGCTTTGTCGATAGATGTACATTTTATTATGTGGCTTTATAAAAAGCATGATAAAAAGAACAAAAATTAGGAAGAATATTAAATATTCTAATTACAAGGCGAGATTATTGAAGAGTAAAAACATATATATGAATATTATTCTTATAACTTAAAAATAACTTTTTTTATTTTAAGAAAGCCCATTCTAGAAAATTCTTCATTAAAAAATTCATTTATTAATAATATCACTTAATTGTGATATTATTAATATGTAAGATTCACATTAGTGTTTGCATGTTAATTAATATCGATTTGTGAATCTCCCTTCTTATATGACTTAGCGCTATAAGAAGATCAAGAGTTAGAGAAATAATTAAATGTTCAAGTATACAGAAATTACGAGATTGAAGAGTATAAAGGATATATATATACATAAGAATATACATACATATTATATAAGTAATCATGTATCTCTATTGTCAAAAAGGAAAAAAGAAAAAAAAGAATTAAAAAAAAACAGAATTGATGTGATTCTTACTTTTATGGTTTCTTTTCATAGCGAGTTTAAGTGTCGAATAAATTTTTAAGCTTGCGAATGTCTGGAAGATCTCAGTAACTTTATTGCGCTTTTACAAATACTGTTGCATTACAAGATATGCAAGAGAATATTTATACATTGTCTCTACATTTATTCCACGATAGCTGTAAGTACATAAATATAACGATACATATTGTCGCACTAGCTAATTCATTCTCTCTCTTGTATATGTTTCATTTTATTTTTAATAAAACATTAATCGCACAGGTCGTAGCCAACTTCGCGAAATTTTTTTAGCACATCTCTTCATAAAATTTCTCTTTGACAACAATAATAATATAAATACCTTTTATTATATGTTGTAATACTGACATTTGTGTATTACACCAATTTTTACATATTAGAATAATGACACATTATTCGACGTTTTAGCTATCGCGCTTTATGCGTGAGTTTTATATAATTATATCATATACATATATTGTTAATATACATATTTATATTTATTTACTACATAATGTTGATACATTGCTTCCGTTATCTAGTTTTTTAAATAAATTTCAATAGCGAATAAACCGAATTTTTCGCGCGAATACATAAGTTAGAAATAAATATATATAACATTTAACAAGTATAACATTTATATAGTATATTCAAAAATATAACAAATAAATACTGACGCTGTCACTTTACAACCTCTTGTTTACACTTCAACCAGTAATACTCAAGTATGTATTATTAAATATCTCTCTTTTTAACATATATTTATAGTAATACTTAAATGCGTTTTATTTTGCTAATTAGGATTCCAAAAAATTAAATTCTCTCAATTAAACACGATATACGTAAATATATGTATATAGTGTAAAATAAATATATAATTCTTTTCTTTCTCTCTCTTTTTCTTTAAGGGGCTATATTTTATTCGCGTATCCGCGAACAAGAGATAGACCTTAAACTATGTGGAATCTCTCGGAGAAATCATATTGTTGACACTGGAATGAAGATTCTTTTGTTGACTTAACGCGTTGCACTGATCCCGGAGTGTTTCCATCTTGGATCGAAGGGCGCTCAACTTTTCCTGCATCGGCAAAGCAAAATCCTTGCTTCGCGCGAGAACGTCGACCGCGTTGTTCAGCAATACCGAATTCATAAGAGACGACGACAACGGAATGTCCAAGGAAACCGAGGAGGTGTTAATACTGTTACTGTCACCGTATCCTTCATCGATGCTCTCATCGGTTATTCTGGTCACAGATTTCAATTGTCCCTGTAAATCCTATAAAATGCGCAACATCAAGATTTGTCTCCCTTAATGTACTTATTAATATTGTTGAAATGTTATAAATTATTTATTACTAGGTTTTTAGAAGTTGATAAAAATAAGTTACCTTGTTTCGCAGCAGAACTTGTTTCAGACATTCACGCAAAGAATGTTCTGTTTTGTTTCTCTGAAATAATAAGATAATAATTAAACAAATAATAATTTAATAAATAATTAATTTTAAATTAATATTCTTTTAGATGTTTATAATAAATTATTTTTGGTTTTTCTATTTTTATTTTATATTTTTGCATATATTTTATGCAACAATATAATATATCATCAAGTATATTCAGAGAAAACTCCTATATTATTTATTAAAATTAAAATATAAAATTGTAATGTATATATCTTTGTATTAATAGTATGTCTACTCAAATTTTGTAAAATTCTCTGAGAATTCCCGGCATTTTCGTTTAAAATTTCAGGTAAAATTAGAAAATTTAAATATTTGTGCTAAATAAAAATAAAATTATCAAAAGGGCAATTTTTTAAAAATTCCCTCAATTTCAATCAAATTCCATGAGAATGCCAGATTTTCAAGATTCTTCCCAGGATTATACATCCTGATTGATTATATTATTAATTATATATTGTATCGCGTAATAACAGATTATATGAAAAGAAGATAATGATTTTATTATGTAACTCGAAAATATAAACACCATATCGTTAAGTTGATTATTCATCTGCCTGCAGTGAAGTTTCTGCTCCAAAGTTTTTATCTTCGTCTTCTCTTCCCTGAGCTTCTTCAGCAGAGAACTGTTTGCTTTGTGCGACAAGGTCCTCAAACGTTTATTCTCACTCGCGAGATCCTGCATACTACTCAGCTTCTCTTCGGATTCCGCGTTCTTGGATCTTAGCAGTTTATACTGCGCTATCATCTTGGTCAGCTGTATCCTTAGATGAGATATCGCGTCCTCCACTTGACTCTGCTCTCGTTTGGACGTCATCAAGGAAGTCTGCAGCGTCTCGTTCTCGGATCTCAGCTTCTGTATCTCAAACTGCGTCTTCCGTAACAAATCTGCAGTCTCGTTCTTTTCTGTCTCACATTTCTGTATACTTTCCTCCATAGACGCGATCAGGACGCGTTGCTTGCTCAACGTATTCTCCATGGACATCCTGGCAACCTCGTTACTCAGCAGACACTGCTCCAGTGTCTTCAGCTCGCTCCTGGTATTTCGCAATTCGTCCTCGGTCGCTTCCAACACCATGGACACGTCTGTGGGACTAGCCGTCGAAGTTCCATCCGACGTATCCTGCACCGTGTCAATGGATCGGATGCGCAATTGCAGATCCTTTATCGCGCCCTGCATCTCCTGCTTCTCCCTCTGATACTGTTGCGCCAACTCGGTGTACTCTGTGCTCAGTTTCTTGTAGCTGGCGTTTATATCCGCTATTGCCCGCTGTCGTTGCTTCAGTATACCCTGGTACGTGTCTATCTCCACCTGTAGACTCTTCTTGCCGGCCATCAGGATGTGCACCTGCGACTGGTACCACTTGGCTGAGGTTTCCGCCGCGGAGAGGCGACTGTTGGTGTCCGTCAACGTGTTCTGCAGCTTCTGCTTGTCCCGCAGCACCGTCTGCATCTCGACAAACAGCTCGGTTATCTTGCCTTTGAGACCCTGATTCGCGGCGATCCGGGCGTTGAGATCTATTCGAGCATTCTCCAGGTCAACGCGTAGTCGTTCGTTCTCCAGCTCTAGCAGAGCCACTCGTTTGGACAGCTCGATATTCGAGACATCAGGCGTGGACAGGTGTCGCAAATGAAATTCATCAGTGATCAATGGGAGGGAGTCCGTAGAAGTCACAGAGTCCAGTTCCCCTCGGAATGAATCTGACAGGTTGTCCATTATTGTGACGATGATTCAATTGCAATGTGATATCCAACTGCGGATCATCAAACTATGCCCATATCTGTCTGCGGTTGATCACACATGGTTGTCATCCTGAATATAATATAATAATTAGTAATAAATAAACGTATATGGTACATGCATTTGTAATAAATTAGGTAATTAAATAAACTTTTAATTATTCTATGCATAGAAATATTTTCTTTACATGTAAAATGTTTGTTACATACTTGCTTTATTTTTTAAAGGATTATTTTTGTTTTTAAAACTTGAAACAATAATAATTAGAGTAGATCCAATTAGAAACAATTAGGAAAAATAATAACAATAAGTGCAATTAGAAATCTATTTACACCGAAAAAGCAAACACAGGTTTTCCTATTAAATTGTCAATTCTTTTTTATTAAACAGAATCTGAATCTATATTTGATTGTAAGAATAATAAATATATCAAAAATATAATAAATGTCAAAATTAATCAACGATGATCAACTTAACCTTTAAAATTCGATATTGAAAGGTTTGCAATTTTAATAAATGTAAAGATTATGACGTCTTTGAATAATTTTTAAATTAAATCCTCCCGGAAATAATGATAAGTGTTATTGTATAATCGCGACACTCTTAATTTTACTCTTAATTTTCACTGACAAGAGATGACAGATGTTTTCTGCACGAAACTTTATCGTAAGTGAATCACAAAGGGCAGAACAATATACCTTATTCATAAGTTTGCTGTCCTTAATTAGCTGCACACATCTTGTCGTTTAATTAGAATCAATATTCAATCAGACATTTGCAATTCAAATTGTTTACAACCAGCACAATCGAAAGGGTTAATTACTGTCACTACAACGCGTCGCCATTTTGATTAATTTTGTGTCTCTGTTCCTCTCAAAGATCCATGTTTTTTTCTATATATATACATATACATTCTTCTAAATTTTAATTTTATAAAAGCAGATCAAAGAAAATTACAGGCAAAATATGTATTAAAAATTATTGAACATCTGTTCTCTTATGTAATTAGAAAAAATATATTAAAATATATTTTTCATTAATTATAATATAAAAAAATGTGAACTAATATTTAATCTTTTTTTATTCTCTTCTCAATAAAAAAAATATTCTTTAGCAATTTAACTATTAACATATAAATATATATATGTAATATGTAAATATGAAATAAATGAAAAAGAGTAAAAGATGATATCTAACAATAAATAATGTATAAGAATTTATAAATTATAATTTATATAATTTTTAAATAATGTATGAAATTTTATATAACTTTTGGTAGATATACATAAAATTTTGATGAATCTATTTCTTTGAGAATAAAATTGTCTAGTTAAATACATGCATAGAAAACAGGTAATTGATTACAGTAATAAGTTTGGTTTACAATTTATTATTATACTAATTTCTATTAATTTTATTGTTGTTCTCTGGACGTATAATTCATATGTGAGAAATAAATAGCATTAAATAATAAACAAATATATTCTACACTTCCTGGAATGAAATACTGGAAATAATAAATTCACATATGTAATTATAAGCAGGAGCTGAAAGTAGAGCAATTATATCATTATAATACTTTGTACTGAGTGAGAGAAAGAGATTACATAATAGCTCCGAGATCTCCACTCCTGTTGGTGAAGAGTAATACGAAAAATCAGATATATATATATATATATATATATGTGTGTGTGTGTGTGTGTGCAACATAAATATACATCTTAATTTTAAAACTATCTTAATTGATTTAATAATTTGAAACTGAATAATAGTTCTCTCTCTTTTTATCTATCTTGCGATTATAATTAATACCCGAAATAGAAATCACAGAATGCTAATGTTGAGTTATACATTATTACAGCGAACTGGCAGCTTCTTCCGCAGATCTGTATAAACACATGACAATGAAAGAATTACAAATTAATTTATAATTCACACATATATTTTTCAATAATTACAACATATTTAGTAAGCAATTTACTTACTTATTAATAGTCTTGCTGGAAGTCTCTTTTAAAGAACCTTGTACAGTGATATCTAAAACAGATTTTTGTTCAATGAAATAAAACGGATGTTCTTTTTCATGTTGAGTTAAGAGATGTTAACAGAATAAAATTAAATTATTAAAAAAAAATTGAATAAAGCTATGATATATTTACCATGTGTATGTTGATACATTGCCGGTGACCAGCTGAAAGTACTAGGAGTAAGAATAGCGTTCGCTGTTATTGCAGTGTTTGTAGATGACAATGTACTCTCCTGGGTCAGCGAGTGTGCAATGGAGCTTCCACCGGCAGTGCAAGAGTTATTCTTTACGTCGGACGAAGCGGTTTTCCTGCGTATTAAAGATAGACAGGGGTAACTTAATTTTTTTTTACACTAAGTTAAAGTTAATGGCTTATAAAATTAATTTAGTTACATTAAAGTTGCATGAACAAAAAAGTAACTCAGATAAAATTAAGATTAAATTAAGTTAAAAATCAAAAGTTAATTTTTAATGTAAAAAATTTTTTAATATTATTTATATTAAATTATAATGTCATAACTTAAATTTTTTAAATTTAATCTTATTTAATTTTTTTAAATTTATATAAAATAACTAATAACGAAATAACAAAAATTTAGAAATGTATTTTTTCTTTGTAATTACAATTATAAAACAAATTAATAGTATATAAAATCTTTATTAATTTCATAATACTTGTAAGACATACATCATAGAATTTTAAGATTTTATAGAAAAAATGGCATTCAGAGATAAAAAAAAATTAATACGTAAACAAAAAGCGATGTGTAAAAGTGATATAAATAAAAATATTTTTTGTTTATAACAATGCTTTTTTTATTCTAATCTTGCTGCAGGCAACTATATTTCGATTCTTACCTCAATTTTGGGCCACAAGTCGCATCTTTCTGCGACGATCCCGATGACAGATGAATGGTTTCGAGTAATTGGTCAATTTCGAATATCTTGTTGTTGTCGTTTTTCAAATTCATGCTAGTGGATGAGCTCGGAGAGGACTGGCGTCGTGACAGTAAATGCTTTGACATGATTTTGTCACTGTCTAAAAGTACTGAACAAATATGTTTTTATTACTTTAATTTCTTGTCGTTTCTTAATAATAAATTAAAAAATAGCAATAGTTGCAACGTATAAAATATGTAAAATAAATTATACTACTTTGTTTTTATATATATAATATATATTCAATATAAATTTAAAAATATGCATGCAATTATATCTTCAAAATTAAATGATTTGTTTTGCAGAAGCTATTAGACTTAAATTTGACTTCTGACAGAAAATGCCAATTTACTGGTATCTTTTTTCATTTACTTTGTTTTTTCACAAAAGCTTTTTTTATACCTGATATTGATCTAATACCAGATTTAATACTCCTTCACGTACCATTTGGCACTATTAAATCCAGACGCAGACTAGGTGCCTCCACGTCGTGATTGATTTTATTAACTACTGGCAGTTTTGAGATATCCCTCTCGCAGTCTATCGAATTGGAACGCGTCGCCGGCTCGGACCTGGTTATCTGACTACCGGAAGGCATCGTCGCAGCCACCAGTTCCGAACGGCAAAAGCCCGGCAGTCTTCTGTATTTAGTCTTAGCACCGTAAGTCGCCTGCGGCTGGGAGTGATGCAAAGCGATATTGGGATGCTTCTTGTCACTACTCAAATTTGTTAGATCGTTACAGGCCGCGGTATCGAGCTCGAGATGCTTGTGCGAATAGGCCGCGGTCGCGGTGGGTTGCATCATAGCGTTATAATGCAACGGACTGGAACTGTGACGTCGCAAACTCGCGAGCGAGTTGCTCCTGGAGTCGCAGCTCTCGTCCGCTTGCTGTTGGCTGAGACATAGGGAGGTCCACGGGGAGTTCCTGTCCTGTATCTCGAAGAAGTGTAGCAGCATTATCTCCTTCAATCTGAATCACAAGAAATTTGATTATTATTATATTCATAATTTTCTATGCAACTTTGTCAGTTTTTAGACCCAAATTTTATCTTAAGTATGAATCTTTTCTAGAAAGCTTTCCTTTTTTCACAATTAAATAAAAAATAATTATTTAATTTCAAATAATCTCTGTTTTTAATAATTTATCTTTTTAATATTGGCATTTGTTATTTAATTATGCTAATATGAGATCTTAAATCTCTATCATTAGCTAATTTCATTAATTAAACCTTCTATTAATCTAAAAAAAAGAGAAAAAAATTGTAATTCTTATAATTTAATCAAGTCAAAATTGTATGAATTTGTATAAAATTTATCATTCAACTCTACTTTAATCACTGCTCTTGGCAAATTCATACAGTTATACTTTTCTCTCTTTGTTCTAATATTATAATTATATTAAGTATTTACCTGCATGTATCTGCAGTGGTGTCCCTGTTGTTTTGTTGCTTCATACGTTGCTTGTTCTGAATCCATGGTGCGAGAGATTCTGCGACTTCAATGTCGTTTTCCCCTAAAAATTTTGTGATTTTTTATTAAAATTTAAATATATTTATCTTAATTTATTATTACTTATTATCACTTTACATACCTTTATATACCTTAATCAATTATATATTACATTTATGTTATATTTTATTAAAGTTTTTCAATATGTATAATTTAATAATATTAAATATTTAAATATGTAAAATCTCGGTATATGTAATAATTACATTCAAATAAATTAAATAGTTTTAAACAAAAGTGTATAGAATATACATGGAAAACTGTACACATGATATTAATCAATGATTCAAGATAAGATTTAAAATATAGGAATTTTAAAGCATATAGAGATATAGAATAAATGTAGGATCCTACGAAACAGCATAAAAGCTATTGGGAATAATGGACTTGAAATTTTCTTTCACACATTCTTCAGCTTGTCTTTGCTTCGTGGATTTTTCGCTTTCAATATCTCTATCAATCGCGCGCGTTCGTCGTCTTTGCTTCTCGTCCCTGGATAAATCTCTGTTCGAACTAGAATCTAATTTTAGAATATATCTCTTAACTTTTTGAATTTGCATTTTTGTAATTTTAACTAAACGCTAGAACTGACAAAATTATTTTTTATAATAATTGATTGATTCTAAGAATCTCGTTATTTGATGATTTTCTAGTTTCACAATGTTGTTTTGTTCTATCTGTGATATATGATGACATATATTTTTGCATATACGTGTAATTTACATACCTGACATTGTTTCGTCGTCCACGTCGTTTTCATCATTCGTCAGATCCAAGAGTGTGACGTTGGGCTCGTTGTTCTCACATTCGTCCATATAAATGTCGTGTTCGCTCAATTCCTATAATAGATTGTCTATTTAAATTTTGTAAAAAAATTCCCTGAGAATTTTCTAATCTTTAAAATTCTAAGTAAATTAAGAAAATTTGTAAATGCAGATTTTTAATATAAGTTTCTTTTTGTATGTTTCTTTTTCTAATGTTTTCTATTCGATTGCAAAATTAATTTTCCCGGGAATATATACCCTGTATAAATGTAGGACATCGGAATATTATTCTCGGCAAAGGTCAAGAAATAGGAAACAGGAATATTATTCTCGCGCAATTAAGAGCATGAAGAGAGAGACTAAAATAAAAGTTATATATATATATATATATATATATATATATACAGGGTGTCCGGTAACTAACGGACCAATGATTAAGGGCGGATTCTCTGGCCAATTTGGAGACGATTTTTCCTTAGCAAAAATGTTGAGAAGTCAATAATTTTCGAGTTATAAGCGATTGAAAAAAATGGGTTTTTTGAAAACTAAACGTTTTGGAGTTAAAAGTCTAACATAATTACATTCTTCAGTTAATTTCAGGTAGAGTTTACTATAATAAAATTTTAATTTGAGGCTTAGTTATAAAGATACATAATGACAAATATTGGAAAGTTGTAAAAAATGATGATCTTTTTCGACATTTTCGCTGAGGAAAAATCGTTCCCAAATTGACCAAAGAATCCATTTGTAATCGTTGGTCCGTTAGTTACCGGACACCCTGTATATATATATATATACTTACGCCACTTTCGCTACTGCTGCTGCTGCTGGACGAGAGATTCAACGTCGATGACAGATAAAACGATGGGGAGCGAACACCAGTTGCAGCGGTCTCTCGGCATTCACCTGGTGACGTGTCGTTCGTGCAACGTTGCGCTGCATCATCTTCCGTCACACTCAGGCAACCGTTAATCCGTTGATTGCTCAACGTCGACGAGACGGACAATAAGGGATCACTGGTGCTGTTGTTGGACAGTAGATTCAACGGCTGCTGACCGACGAGCGCGTCACCGGCCGAATAGGGCGTCGATGACGGGTAGGTCAGGTGAATCTTTGAGTCTCCGAGCGACACGTCGTTGGATGCGACGAGAGGCGGGGACGAGGACCGGCCCTCGGTCTCGATAATATTTAGATTGTTGCTGGCACGGTGCGTCTTTAAGGATGTCTTCGACAACGTTTTCGACGTAGTAGAGCCGAGGAGATGCATACTCGAGAGCTCGTTCAATTCGCACATCGGTAATAACTGATCGTTCATTATGTTGCTGTTGTTATTGGGTAGTGTACTTGGTATGGATCTATTGCGAACAAAAATATATATTGTTGAGAACATTCTCAATAGGATTAGATTGAAAAATCTTATACGATATCTTTTACTTTCAGCTAATTAAAAAATTACTATTCAGTCTATCAAATTTTGCTATCTTCCTTCTTAATTTTTGTATAATTTTCGAAATCATGACAATTGTATACAAATTAATTTTATATTGTATAATCAATTAAAAATACGAACATATGCCTTTGAAAGAGATTTGCTGTAAATTGTATTTTTATAAGTATGATACTTAAGTATGGATCTGTTTTGGGAATCAGAAATTGAAACATCGAGAAGTAAAGTTTAACTAATGGCGTAAAATTGATTATAATATATATTTATACCTCATTGGTATTCCATTTGCAGTAGGATATGTGTCAATTGTTCGTATAATGTTCGAATTGAGCGTTGAGTCGCCTGCATCTCTCTCCTGTTGTTGTGGCTGTTGCTGTGCAGACAAAGGTGATGTATTTACAGTTGAACTGCACATTGTAGTTCCATTAGTAGCTCTGGTAGCCGCCATGGCATTGCGGGATATCTCTATCGTTAGTCTCTGAAAACAAAAGAAAAGTATCGATTAATAAAATATTTTTACAAAGAAAATATTTTAAGAAACTGTTTTTATAAATAATTAGTGTCATTATACATTATATATAGCATATATTAGAATTATTAAATCTATTTTTAATTATACATTTTTCAACGAACTCGAATAAATTTATGTAATTGTATTAAAAAATTTATTCTAAAAATATATACATATATAATTATTCATTTACCTCCTTCAATTCATTGATCTGACTGGTGTATTGATTTTGAAGTGTCAGTAGTTGGCTAATATACCACTGCTGGTCTCTACAGCGTTGATAAAATGTCGGTGGACGCACCTGAAATCTGTTCAACCAATCTTAATATATTAATTAATATATTAATATATAATCTTAATATACTCATTGCCACGATCATTGGTAAACTATATCTGAGCTTTCTACAAGTCACTGGTTGTCACTGATTGTCAAATACTAACGTGTATGCAATTAATAATTATATATGCAAAATTATGACCATGTTTATTAATGAGTATAACATATTAATAATCTTATTAAAATTTTAATAGTTTAATGTGTAGAAAAGAGAAATTCATGTAAAATTAAGTATGTTTTTCGTATTAATATCAAAATTGATTAAATTTATTTTTTGAATCTTAAAAGAAGAAACTTAGTAATATTATATTGATTCAAAAAATATTATTTTAAATAATAAAAAGGTACCTTAATATAAGAGTATCCAGTTCTGTATTTAAGTATCCTTCTGTTGCGAGTAAATCTAATCTAAAGAATCTGTTATATCCCCAACATTCGCCAATCTCAAAATCAGATGCAAATTCACGAACAATGTTTTTACTCGTATCACGAGAACCTTGATGTATCATTTCGACTCTGTATTCGTACCTATAAAGAATTGGAAAGATTTTCATAATAGAAACACATGCATAATGTTCCATGTTTTCAAATATACATATAGCAGACTTGTACTATTTTCAGTATAATATTTTAAATTCAGTATAATCTTTTTTTATAAGGAATATATAATTCATTACTTATAAATTCACATACTTTGATGTTTCTGGCAGTCCAGCGCTGAGCTCTAAGAATACTGACAAATAATTTCCGCGCACTACTCCATTACCATCCGGATACACTTTCAGTCGCCAGCATAATCCATTCACATGCAACGGTGCGGAATATACTGGGTCAGCCTTCAACTGTAGCTGAGTAAAGTTTTGCATGGCAAATGTTGCACTGTCATAGCCTGGTACAATCTCACTGAAATAGAATAAACCCCAAAAAATTATCCTTAGTCATTGCACACAAATAAAATAAAATAAATTATAAATACAATTATTTATATAATTAAAAATAATATAAATAATAAATAAATAAAAAATAATAAATAACTATATAATTAATAAATAAAAGCATGGCATGAATCTTTTAAGTTTTACCTGTGAAAGTCAGCAGGTACAGGTGCAGTGACGAAACTCGTCATCGGCTTCTTGCGCATCTGGTGTATCTTGCGCGAGAGATCGGCACTCTTAGCGATCAGTTCGGAGCGCGTGCACGAGTGTAATTGATATTCCACATCTTGCAATAGCGCTTCCAGCTGCTCAGTTTCCAAAGTCAATGAATTCTTCTGGCCCATCAAAGTCAGCAACTTAGCTTTCAACTGGGAGTCCAGTCGAGCTATCATTAATTCGATCGCGTTTCTGATCTCTCTAACTCTCTCGTCTTTCGCCGCTCTTACTGATTCGACGTTTCTTTCCTAGATAATCAACAAATATAACTTAGAATTATAAGATGGATAGATACGTACATTTCTGTATCCTTATATTAAATTTTAAATCTCTTGTTTTCATTTTTTTAAGATAAAATTTGTCAAATATTCGTACCACTTCTTGAACAAGGCTAATCAATTCCATGAGCCGCATATTTAATTGGCCTATTTCGCCTTTGATCTGAGTAACATGTTGCTCATGAACATCTTCTAAAGGTTTGAATGTGTGTCCTGAATGAGTGCCACCCCACAGGGCACATTGATGACAGATACATTTGCGGCAGGTCCAGCAATATACAGATAATTTCTCTTGATGTACTGTGCATCTAGAATATATATAATAAAAAATAACAAATAATTTAAATCATTAAACAATATAGAAATATTTTATATACTACATATATGTACTTAAAAAAATATTTAAAATAAAAATCAATAAATGCATATATATATATCTGTAAATATTTTCGCAAAGCTAATAAAAATATCAAAGCTAGATTACAAATGCTGTATTCAAACCTGTCTCGACTGGAATCATCGTGTCGAAAGTTGGATATGCAAACAGCTTGCAGTGTATCAAGTTGTTGGGTCACTTCTTCAACCCAGCGACAATTCACTAATTCGTGCAAATGAAGAGAAGCCCGGCAGTGAGGGCATTGGGAACGTTGTTCAGTAAGCCATTTTCTGATACAAGTATAGCAGCACAATTTACTGCAGTGAGGACAAAGATGTGCATCTCTTAGCTTTTCCATACAAATAAAGCATCGAAAAACTTCTGCCAATGTCTGTAACAGAAAATAATAAACTATAAATTTTTACTTATCAATCAGATTATGCTTCATCACATTGTAAAATTTTAAAAATTATTTGATTAATCAAGAACAAAGAAATATTTCATTTTAATTAATTAATCAAACTTATAATATATTAAAGGGGGCATAATCTTAATTTTATATTTCAATATTTCAAAAATTGTAAACAACAATTATTGCAATAAAGGAAAGACATAATAAAAAGTATTGTTGCTAAATTAAAAAAAAACAAAGGGAGCACAGGCAGCATCCTCTGTCGCTAACCTCGACGCTGTGGTCGTCCATGGTCTTGGAGGGATCCCGGCTGGCCATGCTTGATTTTTCCACGTAGAAGGTGTCCACTGCGCGGGGCGACGACGTTATCGACGAATATCGATCGCCTCGTCCGAGAGGCACATGTCCTCGAGAAACTGGATCACCGAGACGATGCGCTCAGCCTGACAGCTCGACGATCGTCCGAAGCATCCTCACGTCGCGAACCCGCGACGAAGCTCGAGCATTTCCCTGCGGCCGAAATTTTCGTACGTAAAGCATATATATAGAAGTGACACGGAAGCATACCTACGTTACGTGTCCGAAATTTTTGGCGAAAAACCGTTATAGAACGATCGTCCTCGCATACAGATCCGTAAACAAGTGTGTAAATATGTGACAGGCGCGAAGTAGGCGGTTTTCAAGAGTGACATGCCTCGTGGAAACGATAAAACTGCGCATGCGCTCGACCGACCAATAAGTGACAGGCGACAGGTTCCGCACCTTTTGCACTTCTTTGGTACAGAAAGTTCAGTTATAGAAAAAAAAAATAATAATAACAAAACAAACCTCTCGCGCAAAACTCTGATATTTTACGAATTGATTTCTTGTCTTTATTTTATTTTCTTGACATCTGTCAAATGAAAGGATGCGTTCATAAAGGATAATTTCTAAGGTGAAAAATATATATATATATTCTATATGTTGATGTGCAAATTGTAGGAGATACGTGACATTATTATTGTTAATGTTTTCAGATTATGAAATAGTGTTTCTGGCAATAAGAATATTAAATCAAAGACAAAACGTACAGTCTATCAATAGGCCTGGATAACATTAAGAGCAAGTCTTATCCCGTGATTAATGAGAAACATAATTATAATACAATGGCATCAGCATCTAGTACAAGCGCACGCAGCTTGTTCATCGAATCAAAGATGAGACTGGCAGATAGGGTGCAAGTTAATGTTAATAACATTGCCTCTCTCGCCAGACAGATACAGCGAGGTTCAAAAAGCAGCGAGGTAATGTCTTACTCTTAATTGATATAATATTAAATTAATATTTCTACATTACATATATACTCTGTTTTAACACTTTTAGATTTTAACACACTCAGCAAAGAACTTTGCACAGCAGGAACATGGATTAGAAACGATTGAATCCAGTTTAAAGAAGCTTGCACTCATTAGTACTCATTTGGGATATCAAATGGATGCAATTGACAAAAACTCTGCAATGTTGGAACAAGTTACTGAGCAAGTACGATCTATGCAACGATAACATTTAAAAAAGTATGTAATAAGTTTTATTTGAATTCTATATATATTATAAAAATGCGCATCTTTCTCTGCAGGATATATTTATAAGTAATATGGTACTATTGTATATATATCGCAAGATTTATTAATTTTAAATTTGAGAATAGATAATTTATAAAAGAAAATAATTTGTTTATACTCTGTCCTATGATAGAGATTTTTCATATTATCAAATATATAAAATGTTTTTAATTTCTGTGATATATTTATAAAAATTTATATAAAAGTAAAGAGTATATATTATATATTAATTATTAAACGAATGATAATATAGCAACAAAATATTATTTATTTTGTATTACAAATATATAATAAAAATAATATGATTTGTGTAATATCTTCAACACAATGGATTTATTGGAAAAGAAAATAATAAAAAAATAGAGGAATTAAATAGCACAATGCGTCGATTTCTCTGCCATTTATTTCAGATTAGTTTTAAAGTTTAAAATGTTTTATGGGACGCACTTATATTTATAGAAATAACAGTGTAATAATGAATTCATAAAAATACATTTAAATTTTGAAACAAATATACACAATGCATGCAATGTGTGCACACAAAATAAAATTATTTCTCTCTTATTAAATTAAAGGCGATGTATCATACTGCATTATGCGTTATAATTAAAGATGTTTTTAAAAATAAAATTTTAAGTATTAGATTTGGTCATCAAAAATCATATATGTAATATTAGAAAAATTTGCATAATGCCAAATTCATCAAGGATAGAGAATATCATAATGACCGGGGCGATATAATAAGTGCACAGCTGGTATGGCACCTTCAGGAAAATCGTGGGCAGTTACTTCAGTTCCTGCACCTCTGTCCATGTAACGAACTCTAACACCGGTTCCTAAAGCACTACTCATTGCTATAATATGAATGTGATCAGATTCTTTATACATTGGTTCAACTTCCTATAAAAAGTAATAATATTAATATAATAACATTAATGATGTAAATGTGACAATAAAAATAGGAATGTATCATAACACAAACTTGGTGGCAAAATTCTGTGATAGTGCGATCTCCCTCGATGAAGTGTTGATAGAAGTCTGCATCACGTTGCAGCTGGCCAGATGTAATTAATCTAAGATAGACAACTACGTAATCAGAATAACCCTGTTCATTGAACAATTTATGTAATTCCATGTAACTGGACTCTGCGTCACCACCTACTTTGTCAATGACTTCCATAAACTGTAATTCATCAAAATCCATTCTTTAGTAACATAAACTTTATACTATAATATAATCATATTTACGTATATATATTACACATATTTTTTTGAAAGACAAATTCTTACAATTTACTTTAAACTGATACAATTATATATTGTTGTATCAATTTAATGTAATCAATTTCAAGATTTGTGAGAAATAAAAACTCACCGTATCATGAAAGTCTTCAACTGTAAATTGGGGAAATCCTAGAGCTACAAGATTATCCTTGCTCTTTAATGCTAGATCTCGAAATTTATCATACTCCTCCTTATTTCCGATTAATTTTTCCAAATAAGCATAACTAAATGCCCTGAAGAAGCAATTGCCATCAGGTCTAGTTCTCCTAATGTAAGAATATTTTTGAGCCAAGACTTTTGCTTTCGAAAGATATACATCATCTTTCGCATACTCTTGTTCTAAGCTCTTCAAGGATTCTTTCTCGCCAACTAAAGCTATGGATTCTGAGATCTAAAACAAAAGATGATTATGTATTTAGCGATGAAAATCTTTCACAAGAACGTTCTACTTTTTTTTACTTAAAAAAAGAAGCACTACTAGTTGTCGCACATATTAATATAATGAGAAATAAAGTTTATATTATTAGAAATAACTTTAGCATTTAAAAGCAATTATATATTAATTAAATAACGAGTTATAAATAATTGTAATATATAAATAAATATTCTTTAGCTTGTTAAAATTTTCACACGAAGAAAAATTGATGATTTGAAAACTAAGGTTCCGATCGAAGTGTGCGTGATAAATTTGACATTTAATCGCGCGAATTCGTTGAATCTTTCGAAAATCGATCCTTTGACACATAACATAAACGGCGTATTAACCTCCTTTTCGATACGCCTCTGTTGTTGAAGTATCAACTCATCCTGGTTGATATCTGCAAGAAAAATTGAAATAATAAATCACTCGATTTAATTTCTCGTTAATAAGTCACGCTAAGAGACCTGTGTTTTCTAAGGACTGCTCCTTAAGCGACTTGTCTCCCATATCTCGCGAGATTTCGTTAAAATTTCACACGACGACTGTCAAATTATCAGTCGTAAACAAAAAGTCCGATGTTTCCATGTGAAGTTGAAAAGCCGCTTTGCGTTTCGCGTTGGCAGCACTGCTGGGGACACCTAGGGATTTTCGCGCGGCGCCTCGAACAGAGGTGGCAGTAATCGATATTTCGCACTCGCACAATCGATTTGTCTCCCTCGCGATACGCTTCAAATTCATTCCGTTCCGCGAGAAGATGTCGGAGGTCGCTCGAAAAATGTTCGTCCTGCGAAATTCGAGAATCAACGCAAATCTTGGTAATCCTTTGAATATAATCTTCGTTCATTATTTGTTTCTTGGCTTTGTTGATTGAAATTTCAGATCAATCGAGTATTTCGTCACCGATATCTCTTAATTATTGCATATTTTTGCGTATGATAATATATATTTATATATTTTGCACTTTCGTCTGATTCTAATTTATTCTAAGATATTTCGATCTCATATTATTATTATTGGTATATTTATACATATATATTTATATTACAGAGGTTATTGATTAGTCGCGTTCTTCATATATCAATTATCGAAGTTTCCAAATTTACGTCCTTGTCTTTACTGACCTCTATCGTAGAATGCTGTAATTATTCTAAACTATAATAATATAGCGATTATTTGAGAGGTTATCGCGGTTTATTCTCTCTCGTTTTCTACTTGCTCCTCAATTATTGTGAGTATATTTTATCTCCAGATTTATTACAAATAATTTACGTTCACAATTATCGAATCTCAATTAGAAGTAAATAAAATAAGTTCAGGCAAGCAGTTATATATATTTAGATTATAAGTCAGAGATTGTCATTGCAACATTTTGGCATAATTTGATTTATTTATATGATAATCCATGCAATTTTTAATCACTGAAAAATCTAATAAACAAAAAATATTTCCAAGAGTTTTTTTTGGTTTTGTTAATGACGCCAAAAATCGTCTAATATCGATTAGATATCGATATAGGTATTATGTGTATGTACGTATTGTGTAACTGTATATACATATACATATACATATATGTATAAATACATATACATGCCTGGGGCAAATGACGATGTAACTGTAGCAGAACTTACGCACGTTTCCAATTAATAATCCTGTTTATTTTAGTTTAGATACAATTGCATTCTATGCTATATAATCGTGTGTATACGTGTATGTGCATGTGTATGCATATACATATATGTATTAATTGTATATGTATGTATGTGCATATGTATATCAACGTAGCAGTGCATTCTATCAGATTGATTGCCAGTTATTGTCACGTTTGCTTTGTATCCTTGTTTTTTTTCGAAAATTAATACCATCGTACTTTATCAAAACATATATGCATCTCGTCTGAATGCATATAAAAAATAAATCGCGGTATTTATAATAAAAAATATATACTTTTTATTTCCATCAATTTTCTTGATTTTTAAACGGCTAATAAATCATTAGATATATTTGTCATTATAATTTAATTCTAGCTATAACAAATACATATTTATATTTAAGACTGATTAATTTGGCATATATAAATCGCGGTATTTATAATAAAAATATATACTTTTTATTTCCATCAATTTTCTTGATTTTTAAACGGCTAATAAATCATTAGATATATTTGTCATTATAATTAATTCTAGCTATAACAAATACATATTTATATTTAAGACTGATTAATTTGTAATTGCAATCTTTTATATCAAGTTTTCCTATATTATTTCATATATAAAATTTATTTATTATTTATTTATTATAATTCATAATTTATTATAATTCATTTTATATATAAAAATTATTTTATATAATATAGAAAATATATAAGAAACTCGATATAGAAGATCAATGAATTATTCTTCTCATTCGTATATATGATTTATATATTTATATTTAAGACTGATTAATTTGTACTTAATCTTCTAGATCGAGTTTTTATGTTTTATACATAGATATAAAATATATAAGAAACTCGATATAGAATCTTAATTAGACAAATTAATCAGCATATATATATATATAAAATATAAAAGATGAATATGTTTAATGATACGTTTTGCGATATATATATATATATATATATATATATATATATATCGCAAAACGCATCATTAAACATATTCATCTTTTATTCCCGATCGTTTTTCTCTGAGGGATATAAATTCTCTCATTATTCCGTAGCACGAAATCGCGAGAGAACGCAAGCCGCGGATAATTAAGGGTGTACCACGAAAGCGTGACGCGGCAGGTAATTAGCCGCTGGTACATATATATATATATACATTAGCTTGGCAGAGGATCGGTATTAATCTGTCTAATAGCTCGCGATCAAGTTCGCAATCATGTCTCTTTTCCGGTCCGGTGAATAGCTAGAAACGACTCCACGCGTGGCATACAACGTTACATCCGGTTCTATTCGGATGTATAACGCTGCATACACAGTTACAAAATTTGTGTTAATTTAACAAATAGATGTCATGTCCCAAACTGAAATTTTTGCGTTAATTTAATATAATATACAGATATATTAAATAGTGACACGAATATTGTGCTAATTTATTTAACAAAAAATGCAAAGTGTCAAGTAATTTGAAATAAATTTTGTGTAAAATTAACATGGGGTTTAATGTGAAAATTAACTTAAAAAATATAAATTTTACATTTTATCATTACTATTTATATAGAGAATAAAATCAACATTTTTTTTCTGTAAATTTTAACAAATAAATCTTGTCATTAATAATACGGAACGTATTAATTGTGTAAAATTAAAAATAGATGCACATTTTGTTATTTTTACATTTTTTCTCAATTGTTCTAATAATTTAATAATTTAACATTTCAGTTCAGTTAACACAACGGCAATGTGTTAAATTAACACACAAATGTGTTAAATATTTAACATGAAAATGTTTTTTAATAAGAAAACTAATTTTCCAATTGTATGTATATCTTTGTTGCGTATATATCTTTTTTGATATAATTGCTTTTTTTCATAAAAATCTTCGATATTTTTTCCTTATATTCCTCTTTATATTTTAATAATTGTATGATAATAATTGTTATATATTTTGTGTATATAGAAAAAAAAGAAGAATTTAAAATAGAATTCACTTATAGGAAAAAGCTAACGATATGCGAATATTTGAAAATATCCCCATTATTCATTACTATCATATATATTATTTTAATTAATGGATTAATGAATGCGTTTCCTCGACCGAAACCGGACTCGAACGAATGTCGGAAGCTGTCACTTGACGGGACCGCGAGAGAATGAAGTCACCATCCGCAATTTGTAAACTGGGATTAAATTTCGAACAGACACTCGGAAATCCACGGGCTCGTTCTCTCTCGTTCGCGCAATTTATACACATCTGTTTTTATTGTTTCCGTTAAGCTTCACTCGGCTAAGCGGCTTAACGCCATTATGATTAGCGACCACCTGCGATGGTAAAATGTAGCTGCCTGAAGATCATTATTATTTTTTGGAGGGGATTGATTATTTTTTATGCTCGTGTATCTTCTTCACATGACAATCGAGCAATCGATATATATCTCGAAGATTATGTTATAATATATTGTTATATTTCGCGATACTAGGATATTGTGTATATGTAATTGCTGTGTTACTTGATATTTTTCGTTTTGCTTTTCAATTTAAAGTTTTTAAAAGATTTTTCACTCTATTCTCTAAAACTTCTCTTAAATGTATCTTTTCTTTTTTCTTCCGCTTATTCTTATTCTATTTTTGTAGCAACTTTTTTATTGTTTACAGAGACACGTGAGGGAAAATCTCCAAAATATGTGGGAGAATCTTCAAGCATCCTGAAGTGGTACTGAGAATCTTCAAGACGCGAGTTTGTATTCCGGAGCAGTAATTCCCTGACTTAAGGTAAAAGTCAAAAACTTTTTATAATATTATTAAATGGATGCAAATGCAGAGAAAGATAAGTTTGCATAAATTGCTCATAAGGGAAACGGCGTATATTTCTAAAAAATGAGAGATGTGCAAAATATGAGCAAGGCACCGACAGACTTTTTAGAGAAATGCATTTTACATTACATATCTTTTAAATCTTAAAATCTTTTTGTCAAAAAATTTCGACGTTGTATGAAATATTGCCTCGGAATTTATTCTACGTGTTATTACATTTGCGAGAAATTGTAAAACGTATAAAACATATATGCTTACAGTTAAATAGAAGAAAAATATGTATAAAATTATTTTGAATCTAATTGATAGAAAAATTAATTTATTTCTTATTGAAAATGTAAATCTAAACTGTAAATTTAATTTATTTGAAAATTTAATTAATTTATTTTTTATTAAAAAATATGAAACTGTAAATCTAATTGATAAAACAATTTATTTATTTGTTTAAATATTCTCAGGAGACATTGAATCAATTTGTCATTTTACGAAATGTTTCACTTTTATCAATCTCCAAGAATTTTTGTGAAATTTATGAATTTTTGCGCGAATTCCCTCGTTAATATTTTTGTAACTTATTTTATTTTAAAAACTTATTCTAAACAAATATTTATTGAGAGATTTAATCAATTTTTCATGGCAATGTCAATAGCTTCGAAACTAAAATGCAGATAAAATGGTCACTGTAATCATTTTATTGATAACATATTTGTCTAATATACACTATTACGATACATTCTCTGATGATATATTATTAATTCATTAATGATGATCACGATGTAGTTTGATTTTATGTAACATTTATGATAGACGTTAATATATGCATTAACGTAATATGTTTATATATGTATACATAGAAAAATATTTGAAACTTGTTGACTTAACCCTGTTAGTAAGTCAATACACAGCCCGGATGTATAAATTAATCCATTAATAATCACGGTGTAGTTCGATTTTAGGTAGCATTTATGATACAGCAGCTAATACATTAATATACATTAGCTTCTGTATCATAAATGTCAAATAATATATCGATATCTATACCGTTACAAGTTTCAAACATTTTTTTAATTACTGCTCTGTATTATAATATCTACGAAATATCATTTCACATATCATTATTTAATTTTATTAAATTAAAGAATTAATTTAAATAATACATATTTCATATGAAATATATGCTGACATTGTAAATTTATTTAAAAAAATACATATTATACGAGATAAGCTGATATAAATATTTTTAGTTTTTATATATTTTGGCCAATAAATATAAATAAATTAATTTTAAAAATATTACGTAAGATAATTTTTAGCCAGTTATGTGTAACTTTTAAAATAAATTTTTCACTTTCAATCTATGATATATATTTTTCTTTGTAATTTTATTTATTTATAAAATTACATCTTTTCTTCTGAAGATTTTTAATGATAAAACATATATTAACAAATTTTATTTAAAACATTACATTATAATTATATGTATATTTACTTGTATGTATAATTATAGTATATTTAATATATTTTATTTAATAAATTAATAAAAATTGCAATAGGTGCAAAGAAAGAGAAATAAGAGTCGCAAAAATATCTATCGCATCGCGACTGTACGCGCACTAATACATCTTTAAAGGCATATTCCAATTGTTTTCGTCTTAAAATGTGCTAATCATGCTAAACCGACGTACCATTGTACAGCGGAGGCAGCACAAGAGTAAACGCGCGGGCGAGAGATGCATCTCACCATTGTTTCCGCAGCGTCTAACGAATGGTTAATTACCGCACCGCGGCTACAGGAATGCGTTATTGTTTGCAAGTACTGCAATGAAAAGGATGCGACCGGAACAGAGAGCCGATACAGCGGATGAAGGGGTAGGAGTGCAAGAGAGAGAAAGGACGGGATAAGAGAACAAAGGGGTGGAATAAAAGGGAAATAAGGGAGGAAACACTTTGGAAATTCAGGGAAAACGGAGGTGAGGAAATAAGACGACAGAGAGAGAGAGAAAGAGTGTCTCAAGCCGATTCAGCAGGCTCGTTTCCCGGCTCATTAGTCCCAAAATGGCATCTAATCTGATTTACACGATTCATGGGACGCGACAGACAAGAGCCTCGATTATTTTCGAGACGGCGATGGATGTCTTGCATTTTTACGTAGATAGGGGTTGCGGAAGTTCGAAACGAATTATCGAGACAATCGCGAACTTCTCTCGCCTTCTTATCCGCGTGAATCTTTGAATGAATAAGCAACGGTGCATCGTTTATTTATATAAATCAATATTTCATCGGTATATGTACGTACCTATATACAAAAAATTAATTGTATTATAATATCGGTAATAAAACATAGCTCAATTATGAGCAAGTATGAATTATCCTTTTCGATTTATTAGCAAGTTTTATCAGATCACTTTTGGTATAGTGTATGGCTAAAAGTTATTTTAAAATTATTGCAGGAACATTTTTTGAATTATATGTGAATTATATCTATTTAGATATATTGTTATTAAATATATATATATAAGTATCTTTTAAATTGTATGTATATTATCTTATAATAATATTTAATTATTTTAGACACTGTTTTATAATTGTTAACATTTGTATTTCAGATTAACATGTGATCAACTACTACAACTTTACTGCTGTATATATAATATCGGTGAGTTTTAATTTATTCTTTAATGAGTTAATTTTACGAAAAATATTTTTAGATAATAATTAATAAATTTGATTTATTTCAGAGTGCCGAGAGTGAATAGTTTCCGTGTTATTTTCCGTCGAAATAATAATAAAATACGCGTTGCATGTAAGTTATTTATGTCGGGAGTGCCGTATAAAGTACTGCGCGATTAATTTTTATGCGGGATCATAATTAACCGAGTGTTTTCGCGAGTGTCATGTGAGTGCTACAAATTAAAGGGCAGCAAAGAAAATATGACCGCAATAATAAAAGAGGAGGAGGAGGCCTGGGGAGGCATCGGGCAACAGCGAAACAACTGCGAGGTGAGTAAATTTTAATTATTATTTAACACTTTGACAATTTTATGAAATTAATTGTTTATTTATTTTAATGATCTTTTTGTTTTTTGTTATTGTGTAATATAATATACATAATGTATTTTATATTTTTATTTTAAAATATTAAATAAATTATTTGCAATAATTAATATTTTTTATATAAAGATAAATATACATATATATGTTATTTTTGGAATCGCGTTGTGTTTAAAATTTTTAAATTATTTTATTATTTGTATACAGATTTTTTATTTTTACTTATATTATAATAGATTAATCTTTAAGAACTTTTTTTTCCGTAAAAACATTTTTTTGTATAGTTATTTATTTTAGTAAATAAGATTATTAAAAATAAGGAATTGAATAAAAAATGTAATCCATAGTTAACGTAATTATTATTTTTTAAAATAAATAAATTATTTGAGACACTGATTAATAATTTGTTAATATTTGTGTTTTGCAGATCAATATGTAAGTACATCATGACAACTTAGTTGCTACGCTTCGTATCGGTGAGTGATAATTTATTTTATAATGAGTTGGTAATTTAAGAAAAAATATATTATTTAAAAATTTGAATAACAAATTAACGCTTTAATAAACTAATTTAAAAAATATTAATGAAGTTTAAACAAACTTTATATATATATTTTTAAATATTATCGAAAAATGGCGCTTGTCGTTCCAGTAATTTATATAAAAATTGATTTTTTTCATAATGGACATTTTCATCAATTTCTCTATTATTAATATCGCAGAAAAGTATCCATTTTTAACTATTTTAATATAAACTTTTTTCATTAAATTAAAACGTATAAAGAATAAAGTGTATGAATACAGTCTGTTCCATTACGATTTCTCCCATGCTGATATAAAAATATGAAAGAATGTTTATCGTATATATTATTTACGCATTAATTGTTAATAAATTCTTAGGGATAAAATCTTGAAACATTCTATAGAATTCCGAAGGGCGTGACCTGCGGTCAGGGCACGTCCGCATTATTGTTCCCTCTTATGAGATTCCTTAACCGTAGATAACTCCGGGCGTTTGTACAGCTCCACCGCTCGTCTTTTCTTTATTTCTACTTCGGGGAATTCTACTTTCACCCCGGAAAGCGTTTCCATCTATCACAGGATAGATAGAGATATTTCGCTAATTGAATCGTCGTCGCCGAAACGAAATTGCTACTTGCGCGCACAGAATTGGATTTTCCGATCATTAAGTGAACGGTTCCTTTGCCAGTTTCTTTTCCTTGTCGTATACCTCTTGTTTGTACGGCGAGTCTATGTTTCTAAATTACGATACGGATCAAATTTGGAATATCAATAAATTCGAGTGTTCTTTATAAGTCGACGATTGTTAACGAAGCGTGCACACTTTATTTATATAAAATGCGTTTGGAAATAAAAAAAAAATATATTTTTTTTTACGAAATGTTACTAATCTTATAATCTTTGAGTAGAACGTTTTTTAACGTTATGACACATTTGTCTGTATGCATTAATAATTACGTAGAGAAAAATATATCAAACGTGATATAGGTAATTAATATGCTTACACTGATATATTGTTATTTTTCAGTAATTTAGTATTGCACTTTCTCAAAGTTGATGCAGCTTTCGTTTATTTAATTAATTTAATGTACTTTCGTTAAGTTAGCATCTCAATTAATGTTAATTTTAATCTATTGCAAAATTAAGGGTTAATTAGATGCTAATTAAATTGTAAGATGCTGAATTAGGACTATTTGGTAGGAAGTTATATTGAAGGGGAGAAACTTTAAGAGAGAAGAGGGAGAGAAAGATTTAAGCTTGTTTCATGTGACAAAATTAATATTCAACATAAAAATAAAAATAAAAAAACATTAAGTACTCATAGAAACTATATCCTTTTTTTAAAAAACTCATGTTAATTGAGTGAATTTTATTTTTCGGTCGGTTGTTTCGAAATTTGTTTCATGGTTTGAATCACAACCAAGTCGTTTGATAGTTTTACAGTTTACAGTTAAACTAATTTTTATTTTAATTTACTGAGGTCCTATTATGCACATAATTTTATGTTTATGCCATCGAATTTTTATTATGTATAATTTTAATTCATCGAATTACTATTATGTGCATAATTTTAATTTGCCGTATTTTTTTATGTAAATAATTTTAATTCGCTAAATTTCTATTATGTACATAATATTAATTGGCCGAATTTCTATTATATTATGTACAATTTCAATTATTTACATAATAGAAATACGGCGAATTAAAGTTATGTGCATAATAGAAAGTTGGCGAATTAAAATTATGTTTATAATAAAAATTCGGCAAATTCAAATTATGTACATAATAGAAATTCGGCGAATTAAAATTATGTACCCTTGTTAATTTATATTATTTACTCTTTAAAAAATCACATGATTTCAAATCACATGAATATATTTTTCTAAAAAATACGATATGTCGAACGAAATTTTTTAAAATCAAAAGAGCACTTAATTTTTTAACACATCTTGTTCATTAAATCAGCTGATTTTCATGAAAATATTTTTAAAAAATTATATTACATATGTTCCATCATATAAAAATAAATAATTAGTTTTATAAATTAAAAGAACGAATTTAAAAGTAAGTACTCAAAACTCCCCTGTTAGCTCCACCGTCACCCTGGCACCATTGTAAGTTTTATTATCGTTCTCTTTTGTTTGTCTCTTGCTGTTCTTTGGCACTTGGCTTTATGATACTTACACGCGAAAACACATTTAATTAGGATCGCGTGCGCACTAATCAGCGGAACGATTGCGTGGCACTTTGCAGGGCGTTCCCGACGTTAATTTTATTATATCGCGATAGGAAAACAACGCGAAAATACGATCGATATTTTGGAACACAGACCACCAAAATCAACGCACTTAATATTTGCATCAGTACTATCTCCGAGTCGCTAACGAATAGAAGATGCTCTCGTTTTAGAACAATGATTATTTCATATTATAAGATACATATATATAAATATGCATTAAAAAAAAAAGAAACTTATTGAGTTCGAATAAGTATTTATTTCAATACTCCCGAATAAATCATTTATTTGAAACTAATAATATTGATTTGATGTGAAAAATAATTCATTGATTAGGCAGTATTGAAATAAATGTTTATTAATTTAATAATTTTTGCACTGTAATAATATTTGAAAAATAATAATTTTAAATATTATTATGAAAGGAAGGCAGAGTATTTCATGTAAGAAGGAGCGATAGAAATTTTAATATATCTCGAAAATGTGCCAAAATATCTTCTCGTGAGAAACACATTTCTCGTTTCGATCATTTTGTAAATATTATCGATGAATAGTAAATCAAACTTTCCCATGATGTTTCACATATATACTTATATACTCCTCGTTTAATGTATATACATTTGTAATGCTCGAAGTATTAAATATTCATGGAAGAAAAAATTAATTGAGTATGTCTCTATAATAATTAAAAATTAAAAAATTCTTTGTGCAAAATACTTCTAGCATATATAAAAATTTCAATTTTCTCATATATGAAATGTATTTTGAATACATAAAAATGTGAAGTAAAATTTATAAAATTTAAATTTTCTAGTCAAAATTTTTATCGAGAGAAAATGGTTAATGATTCCATTTAAATCAATTTTTTTTACTTCGTTGTTTGCACGTTCTGCTCCGCGATATTATTACATTTCGCGATGCGAATTATGTATTCGATGATAATAAGAGCGTCGAAGAATGCGAGACATTTCACTGGAATTTTTGTTGAATCGAATACTAAAATACGCAAGATCGCTTCTGAATTGATTATCGTGACGTTGATAATGTCACCTTTATTAGATCATTTCTGAAACTTACTGCATAAAAAACCCGAACAAATATTTGAGATATTCTGCTTGTGTTACTTATCTATCATCGGATCCAATTTTAAATATTTATATGTTTTTAAACTTAACTCTTTTAAACTTTTAAACATTAGATATATTTAGATTACATTTAAGAATGAAAGTTTAAGTTTTTAGAAGATCTATTATAATTCTCGCGACAAAATTTAAAAACAGATTCTATGTGTCATATGTATAAAGATAATAGAAAACATTAGAAAAGATATAGAAAGCATTAGAATACATAATAAAATCCAAATAAATAAATTCAAACATAAATCCAAATATACAGATATTTAAATAAAGATATACAATAAAATATGTAGCGTATTGAATTATTGAATAGAATTTTTTGTTGAATTTTATTACGATTTATATGTCTATTTTGAAAAGCCATAAATTTTTTTATTTAATATATTTTTGATAAATTTGTGCAATCTGAAAATAAAGATAATATTGACTTTTTAATAAAGATATGAAATTGTATTCTTGACCAATTTTATATAATTACATTGCTCAAATGTGATTATGCATCAGAAATGTTCTCCATGAAATTGTAATATTAAATAAAATAATAATAAAATTAATAATTATAAAGTATTGAACAAAATATTCTTAGCACTGTTTCTAATTTTATAATAAATTGCAGACGATTTATTATCTTACTAAATTTTTATAAAATTTAATTTTATTCCATACGTAGTAATGTTGATATAAAGAGCTTAATTTAGTTTATAAATTCGGAAAAATTCAAAGCTTTAATTCTTATACTCACAAATAATCGATAATTAATAAGTAAAGAAACTTTGAAGATATAAATCTCGGATCTTGAGCTGTTGTAAGGCAAATATTCACAAAACAGAAGTATCAATCTGTTTATAAGGATCTTTAATAAGGATATTTTATAGATTTTATTTTATAAAATAATTTTTCCTGATTCGAAAAAGTAATAATTAGTTTATGTTTTGTCATTAATTTAGCTATGCATGATCTATATTTTATTTTGTTTTATATTTTTTCCTAATTTATACAATTTCCGTTGTTTTTATTTTTAGAAATAACATGAATTTTTTTGTAAAAAGGAATAATTATATTTGAGTGACATGTAATGACAAATTTCAAAACTCAAATTTAAAATTGACATTACCTTCTTCACTAACAATATTTGCCTTGTCGACAGTAATAAAAAAATGCAGAGAATAATATATATGTATGTATATCACTTCGTAAGTTACGGGAAAAACATATGGTAATATTTTCTAAGAACAACATTGAGGAACCATTTTTTTTTTTCATTCATAATTCATATACTAGACTAACTTTCGTTTCATCGAGCTGAAGATTTTTCAACACGCTTATCGCCATTTTCTCTCCTCGACTTTTCTATAGTACCGTGCACTTCCATGCACTTTCCGTGAACGATAAATTTTGCGATCTCCAAAGCGCACACACGCGAAAATCGTTTAGACGGTTTGAGCGCGCGCCAGATTTCTCCTGTTGGGGAAACGATGCAAAATCGCGAAATCCGGAGGCCGCGAGCGTATAAACGTGCGTGGTCCTATGTATACATAATT